TCCAAGACATGGTAGGACTTCCTAGACAGGTCCCAGGCGACTAAATCGCCTACTGTCTCTCACGGCTGAACTTCCTGCGAAGCTCTGCCCTAGGTGTACTGTCTTGCGACGGTCTACCTTCTCGCTGCACTAAAGGCCTTTCGTACCTATTGCAGCACTAACTCTGTGTTACTAGTTCGCACTAACAACACGCTCTAAAACTTAGTTAGAAGACAGTCTACCTAAGGCTTATGTCTAATTGGGATCGAATACAAAATGTAAGGGGCTGCGCTCTAGGGAGCAATCGCGAGGTATACAAGAGGTTGTATTCGATAGAGAGCTATAGAGTCTACTTGCGTGGTGTTTATTTACTTGTCAGAGAAAGGTTGCACCAAGTGTCTGAGCGCGTCGTCTGGGCGCCGCTCAGGCCTCGCACAGATGCCGGGTTGCAGAGTAAGACCTGGCGTCTGCTGCTTGACCGAGATTCCATCGAGGAGCTATCCAAAGGGCGTTCAGCCCGTTACACTACTTATATAATGAGACATAGAACATATTAGTAGTAGTAGTAGTAGTAGTAGTAGTAGTAGAGATAAGTAGGTAGAATAGTAATATTATAATTATACTTATAACCAAGTTAATAAAGTAATTATGTGTAACGGGCTGAACGCCCTTCGCCTCCCATACTCGTTTACGACCTCGTTTACTCCACCTACCCGGCCCGATTGTTACCCTAGCAACCAGCATTGTATATAGATAGCTACGTAGTCGAGAGCTTAGCTCTCTATCGAATACAATCTTGTTACCTTGGCCTGTCCGATCGTGCTCCCGAGCTTAAGACTACCCTCCGGGGTCGAGCCCCTTACATTATGTACAACTATACTATAATAAGCTTAATTAGCTACCTAATTATTAACAACTAGTTACGTGACTGTAGCCTTAATAGGGTTGAGATATAACGTCCTTTGTTCTTTCCTCAAACTAGTTACCTGTAATCAGTTTGATCCTTCCGCTATCTAGTAGTCACTAGTAGTAACCAATACATCTTGTTACACTATGCGTCTTACCATGTAGGGATAGAGGTTAGTAAATCTGCGGGTATAGCGAGTAAAATCAGTCTAAGATATAAGGACTATCAAGGTAGATTAAGACACCTTTGGCAATGTGGTAATACACACCATTGTCAGGGAGGGTTTTCCAAGCAGAGTATGCATTATGAAATCAGTATTCTATTCGCAATAGACAGGGGGACGAGACTAATCTTCCAAATCAAACAGTGTCACATTGTTTCAAACACTTGACTCGGTGCTCTATGTACGAAGATGCGAATGTCTCACTGAGAAGCAAAGATAGCGCCGAGCATTGAGGATAAGAAACGAAGTATCATGGTAAAGACTAAAACCCCCCTTTGTCAAAAGAGAGACAAGCAAACTCATCATTCAAAAGCTACATACACCATCCCAGCACAGTGCAAACAGACCGAGTTCGTCAAAGGAACCAGACTATGTAATGTAATCACACCTTCTCCTTCTCATCACCCACAACATGCACTTCAACGGGCTCGACGGTAATCTCATCGCTCGATAGGGTGCGCACCCTCCTAAACACGGCTTCCTCGAGTGAATCATAGACAAGTGTGGCTTTCCTGTCACCACCACTGCTGCCGTCATTAGCGTCGCGCAAGGGCCATCCGAAGCGGCCAAAGCGCTCGCGCACACGCCCGTTCAAACCTACAAGCCTTAGCTGGGTGTTTTTGCCGCCGTAGGCTTCAATGTCTGCTTTGAGGTCTTTGAGCGCTGTAAGGCCCGTGGTGTCGATGTTGTGCATGGCGTGCATGTCGAGGACGACGTTGCGGATCTGCACGGGCTCATCCAGAATGTCTGCTTTGGAGCGCAGACGCGCAGCTCGGTCTTTGCCAGCAACGCTCCAGTTGCGGTTTGCGTGGGCGGCCTCGAGCGTAGCCACATCACCAGAGTTGTAGGTTTGGACGTCGTCAAGACACTGGTTCTTGATGTGGTATGCGTTGTAGAACAGCATCGACTGGTTGATGCTGAAGACTTGGGTGTCGAGGGGCACAGCATGTGCACCGGCAGGCCGGTGGTTTGACTCGACCTCGACGGTTCTGATGCGCCGGATGCGATGGAAGGCCATGAAGAGGAGGTGGTAGACAATGTTGAAGCCAACCGCCGTGCCGATGCCGACTTCAGACGACACGAACAGCGTGAGCCAGAAAGCGAGCATGGACGTGGTAAAGTCAACTAGCGAGGTGCGCCAATAGCCGTAGAAGACTCGGATAGGCACGACAATGTGCCAAACTGCAGTGACGATGATGGCAGCGAGAGTGGCTTTGGGAATCCAGTACAGTGCTGGTGAAAGCTTGAAGATACTCAAGATGACCACACCACCAGCGACTAGGCCGTAGGTGGGTGACTTGACACCAGACTCTGAGTTGACTGCTGTGCGAGACATTGCGCCACTAACCGACATGGATGAGAAGAAAGCATTGAAGAAGTTGGTGAAGCCGAGGTAGACGAGCTCTTGTGCAGCATCCGTCACATAGCCGTTCTTTCGACCAAATGCCTTGGCAATGGCAAGATGCTCCAGCGCAGCAGCGATGAAGGGTGCAATAGACCGAGCAAAGACTTTGCTGATGAGTGCCGAGTCAGGCATGCGGGGCTTCGCGATGCCGTCAGACTGAACCTTGCTGAGTGCCCAGACAGGATCGTCATTCTCCAGATCAATGTCCTTGTTGACGGCGTATGAGATGCCGGCGAAGAGAACGAGGACAATGGCACTGCGACCAAGCGCTAGTAGCCAGATGGCCTTGTTCTTCTTTCCCCAGCGCTGACCCATCTTCTGCATGAGGTAGAGCAGCAACAGACCTCCCAGACCAACTCCACAAGTGGGGCCGTCGTATTGTGGTATTTTGGCAAAGAGGTCATGGATGATGTTGGCTGTGCCAGAGCCTACTTTGATTCCAAACAGCGACGGAATCTGGCCAAGCATGATGACAATGGCTGCCGCCGAGATGAAGCCGCTGAGGACAGGCACAGAGATGAACTCTAGCAGGAAGCCCAGCTTGAGCAAACCGAGCGCCATGGAGTATATGCCAACAGACATGGCGACGGCGGACGCAATTGCCTGAGGTGTGTATCCGTCTTGAACGGTATCCGCGATGATCTCGGCTGTCAACAGACCCATGAGCGACGTCGGACCGGTCGAAAGGTCTATGATGGGTTAGAAAAAACACTTGTAGAGGGAGATTGTCCTACCTTTCGAGGTTCCCATGACCAGGTAGAGAAAGTTGGGTAGCCAACTAGACATGAGGCCAAACTCCCCAGGGATGGTGGCAATCTTTGCGTATGCCAGTGACTGAGGAATCAGCAGTACGCCGACAGTGATTCCGGCCAGCGTATCGTTCAGAAGCCATCTTGGATTGTACTTTGGAAGCCATTGAATAATTGGGGCTTTTTCAAGGAGGTACTGTCCCGCAACTGAAGGAGCAGCACGGATAGCCTTTTCACCATAACGCACTGTGCGTTGAAGGGTGGTGTCTGTGGCTATGGCCTCACGGCTCTGCCGGGCTTTCTTTCCAAAGTACTCCATAATTCCAGATTGAGGAGAGAAGAGCAACACAGAATTGAAGAAGAGGACAGCTATCGAAGCTGAGGCAGTCTACAAGAACACGGCACCATACATGCAGAAGATAGATATACTGCCTTGAATATCAGGCCGCGGGGTTGCCAAGTGGGCAGGAGCCTCATGCAGATAAAGCTGGGTCTAGGATGCTGCCTGTAGGTTACTACCCACAGAATCACAAGCCAGTACACCCATTCTAGAGCTTACTCGCATGCGAGCATGGCAGCATTGTCTATACAAGTTGCCACATCCATGACCTGCCAATCAAGCTGGCTTGCGATCCGTGTGCCGTTTTTAGGATATCCAATGGGGCAGGGAACTGCAGCTGCGTATATGATAGCCGGTCTGGCGGAGGACCTTCCAACTTGAGACAATAGATTCTCTGCCGCAGTGAGTGGAGACTTTTGCATGGTATACGTTTGAGGGCGCCTCAACGAGGCCAGCGCAAGAGGCCGAGAAGTGATTACGATTCTTGGCACGACCAGGGCATCAGCGGAGGATCATGGCGCTTGCGTGGCTGCAGTCATTCCTAAGCAATCTTGACCTAAGATTGGGCTGCATGCAGCGTTTCATCGCAGGTTTTACGACTCAGCAAGTCGGCAGTTGGGGCGCCTATTAACTGTCAGTGATGAATGTTGACTCCTGTGCTGCAAGCGCTCTTTTGTTTGAGGCCCCAGAATCAGCCCAGAACCACCCCATCGAACAGCGAGATCTTGGAGGAAGGGGCCCTACCCCGCAGCAGACAACAGTGCTGAACTAGTGTCCGTCAGCCACCCGGCTGCTACCCTGTTGAAGCTGGAGACTAGCACCTTGAATTAAGCTTTGGGTAAGCTCCACGAATGGGGGGCCAAGCATCCTTGTCGACTATCTCCCGGGGGGGGAGCGTGCGCCGTGGCATGCAGCGGGGTATCGCAACCGAAACGAAACCGCCAAGAAACATGATGGTGCAAACAACTCGAGCGGAAAAGATCGGCCTTGATGGCGCATCCTCCTGACCGGACTGGCTACCGATGTCGTGAGGCTCGCACATGTCGAATATTGTTGAGGACTGCCTTTTGTGGAGATGAATCCAACCTGGATGCTGTTGCGCATGCGAGCAGGCAAAGGATTCCAAGAATTTGAACATGAACACCACCATCTTCGAAACAATGCCGTGTGACCAACGCCACAGCAGCCTGCTTCGGTAGTGCGGATTACAGATCGGGTGCCGCGCCCATGGCTTGGGCACGAGCGAGACCAATGAAAATGCGGCCGCGAGCCAAGAACAGCCCAAGAAGTTGGTCGTCACCACATTCCGCTGGAGTGGCTCAATACTCGGAAGACTGACTTGTCCATTGAGAAGCTGTGAAGGAAGTACGTCGGATGGTAGCCTGAGTTTGCAGTGTTCATGTTATTTCCGCAGAATCTTGGAAGATTGCCAACGGCAGTCGACGCATGCACGGACATGCCGAGCGGAATGCATATATGCGCTGTGACTAGGAAGCAGTCGACCAATGGCTACGTCGGTCAGGTTCTATCAGACGTCTTTCGCTTAGCTATTTGGGAAGGTAGCCATTTGGATAAGGCAGTGTATCCACTTGTATGATGGCGTGCAGCGTGGGACAAGATGGTAATGGTGGCGGCATGTATGGCAATTTCGTCAGACACTTGCTATGTAAGTATGGTGTTTAGTCGTAGGATTCGGTTTTCGTCGAATGTACATCATCCGTGTACTCGATGCGTGCGCAGACGCGCCCCCGCCATGGCAATACGGCTGCCAAGGGCGGTGGTACGTTCCCCGCATTCTTCGTTGTAGTCCTGACGCCACAATGAGCGTCTGGAATGTCTGAGGCGGAAAAGCGGCAGAAGTGAGTAGCTGTGGCTGGGTCACGACACACGAGTACCTGGTCAGTGAAAGCTTGGAGTATGTGGCTAGCGCAGATGCAGTGAGATAGGATGCTTGGCGCATGTGAATGCCCAGAGCACGAGAGAACGTGGGTTGGGGATCGAGTTTTGTTGTGTGCATTCTTCGCATGTATCACGGGGAACCTGGCATTTGCTAGTTAGTCCCTCCAATGGCGGCGCTGCGTCGGAAAATCGGGGAAAGGCGAGGTGAAGTGCCAGTACATGTACAGCGCGGCGTCCACGGTGAAGCAGGTCTTGGACACCACCACTTGGGCGCGGCAGGTAGTGATTGGTGACGGAGAAGCAGGTCGCTTAGCGAAGAAGAGGGGTGGGTTGTCGGCACCTGGAGACTGGAGGTGATGATGTCATGTCGTTGAGGGTTGTCGATCGGACCTGGCAAGGCACGCGGTGGACGAAGGCCAGACGGTGTAGGTGTACATGTACATGGGGAGGGGCGGCGTGACAGGAGTGGTGGTGGTGAGGAGCCAGGCACGGGCTGCAGGAGGCCCCTCGCCGTGCTGTTGTGTCATGTCCGGCAAGCGCGACCGGCAAGCTTGTACACACCACCGGGGCGGCGGAGCTCCAGGCGGGCCATTTCGCAGCAACGACGGCGAGAGATGCAGGACAGGCGGCGCGACGATGAGGATGCGAAGGGAGATGCGAAGGGAGAGGCGAAGAGACGGCGGGCGAGGCTGAGGGCGGCGGGGGGGCAGGTGAAGGAGGCGAGCACGAGCGCCGGAGACAACGAGGGCAAAGTCCGGGGCGCGGCTAACGCCAAGGCGAAATTTATTATCGATAGGCGCGGGCGCAAAAGACCACGAACAGGCCGCATCGCCTCCTGCAGCAAGAGACGAGAGAAAGAGAGAGCGAGCGCGCGCGCGCGAGACAATGGCGCGCAAGAAGAAGAGCGAGAGCGCACCGCCCGCGGGCGACGCAGGGCCAGCGGCGAGGAAGAAGGCGGCGGCGGCGGCGGCCCCCGAGGCCTCGACGTCTGCGCTCATCATCTGCCGCAACAAGTGAGTCTTGTCGGGAAAGGGGGGCGCAATGCTGCGGGCTTCGAGGCGGACATGGCTGGCGTGGGCTTCGTGCGGCGTCATCGGTTCGGGCTCTTTTCCCTCGGCCACCATGGCCGCCCGCCGCGCCTTTGCCTGCTGGGCGTCGCCGAGGCCGTCGAGGGCGGAGTGCACGTGACTGCATGCGATGGTGAAGTAGACGCCGGCGCGGTGGAACAGCAGCTGCGACTCGAGCGAGCTGGGCTGGTCGTCGTCGGCAATCCTGACCTGCTGCCGCCAGTCGCGGGCACAGTGGTCCTGCAGCGTCTTGGCCAGCACGAGCTGGTCGCGGGCGGCGCGGTGCTGGGCCACGGTGTAGCGGGCGGCGCTCAGGGCCTCGCTCAGGTCCTTGGCCGAGTTGACATAGTCGTCCTTGAAGATGCGCGTCAGGGCGCGCGTGCGCAGCGGGCTGCCGTCGTGGGGACGCTCGGCAATGATGTCGTTGAGCGTGTCGAGCGGCGTGCACTGGGCCATCATGCGGCTGGGAATCTTCTCGTGGAAGAAGTGGACGTACTTGGCGTCGACGTTGGAGGGCTCGCGCTGCAGCACCAGATGGGCCACGTCCTCGAGCGTGCTCGCGCTCTGCATCGTGGCCACGCTGGCGGCAATCTCGTCGAGATGGTAGGCCTGGCTCAGCTTGCTCGTCGCCAGCTCGCGCATGCGGTGCTTGCGCTCTCTGCTCAGCTTGGACGTGCCGCCGCCGCCGCCGCCGCCATAGCCTATGCCCAGCGCAGCGGCACTGCCCAGCATGCTGTTGGCGCCATGCAGGCTGTTGCTCAGGGCGGCCGACGTCAGGCCCGAGGTGGCGCGCACGGCGAGCGTCGTGGCCTCGTCGACGGCCTTGCGGATCTTGACCAGGTCATAGAAGACGGCCGGGTCAATGGGGTGCGGGCGTGGCGACAGGTAGTTGCTGTGGGCGAGCGACTCGAGCACCTCTGGCGGCAGCTGGAGCCAGGGCCCATGGAACGACGAGATGTAGCGCCAATGCCTGTAGATGCTCTATTAGGGCTTGCTCTCGACACGCGGGGACGCCAACGGCCAGAGACAGGGACAGACGGGAGGAGACAGGGCAGGACAGGGCAAGACAGGACAAGACAGGACAAGACACGGCCACGAGCAGGTCCGCCAGAACGCCAAGCGCGCCCTCCGCGACTACCTCGCCTTCCTCTCGCACTTTGACTACACGCCCGGCATATCTGCCGAGCTGGCTGGAGAGTTCCTGCGCACCCTCGACAGCTCCGCACATGGCGCCGCCAGTCGCTACGCAAACGACACCATCAAGCCCAACATGAACCGCCTCCTCGAACAGACCAACGGCGCTGCCTCGCCCATATCCGAGGCCCTGGTCCCCCATCGCCCTCCCCCAAAGCCAGAGCACGACCGCGCATCGTGGCCCAAACTGCCCCCGCCAGAAATCTTCAAAGTCTCCCAGCTCTTTGATGCCTCGCCCCCGGCCTCACTGCCCCCCTATCCACCACCCACGCCGCCAACACCAGCAGAGTCGGCTGCTTCGGCCGCCGCCGCCGCCTTTGCCGACAGCCATGAAAGCATCACCTACCACCCTCTCATCACAGACGCCCTGCACTCGCTCCTCCTCTGCCACGCCCTCATCCAAACCCCACCAAAAGAGCATCTCCGACACGCCCACAATGCCGCCCGCCTCGCCCGTGTCTGCGACGGATACCCAATCTTCCTCGCTGCACGCTCGCCCGCCCGCGCAGACTGGATCGAAGTGCTGCGCCGCGCCGGAAACTGGATCGGTCTATCTACCTCGTGGGAAAATCTATGTCGACCAGCTCCGCTACCAGGCCACTCCAACACCACTACCCCCACCACCAATAGCAACAACCACAGCAACAGCAATGGCACCCACAAAAACGGCACTACAACCGACGTGCTAGGCAAAAACGGCGTGAGCACGCCACAACCCCAGACAGAAACGCCGTCGCAGCGGCGCGAACGCCAAAAACACGAAGCCATTCTCGAAGCCCTCGCCGACGAGCGCGTCGTAGACGAAGAGTCGTTCCAGCGCGCTGTGCGTGCCCGCGAGCGCCGAAACAGAGAAGACGACGAACTGGAGAAGAAACGCCAACAGCATCAACAACAACAACAACAGCAACAGCAACAGCAACAGCATACCTACGACTCCAGCACCACAGTCGATGAAAACGGGACCTCTACCCCTTCTTCCACCCCACCACCACCGCAACCCCAGCTAAAGCGCTGGGCCCAAGATGACGGCAGAGAATACCCCATTTCGACGGAGCGCGCAGAAGCAATCAGCCGCTGGGTGCGCGACGCCCCGCCCGTCAGCGAAGCCAGCACCTCTTCTTCTACCGGCGCACTCAAGAAGAAGAGGACAAAAACCAAGGGCAGGAAAACAACTGGTTTCAACCCTTCTTCTACTTCTGCTTCTGCTACTACTACTACTACTACTACTACTACTACTACTACTACTACTACTATTACTACTACTACTACGACTGTGAATTCAGGACTCCAGGAGAATCTCGAGGCGTTGAGTTTTGGCGTCCACGAGGAAGAGGAGGAGGTGGATGATTGAGTACGAGTACCTGGATAAATAGTATGCATTATGCATTATGCATTATGCATTATGCATGTGTATGTATGTATGTATGTATGTATGTATGTAGTAGATAGTTAGTGTATAGCGTGATGTATACATTCACTCCTCGCACTCTGCATCCGCACAAGTATTTTCTGCGTCTTTCTTTGTTTTTTTTGTCTCTGTGTCTGTCCATGTCTATGTCGGCTTCTGTTTCTGTTCCTCATGTGCCGAATCAGTGACGTGCGGGCGTGTTTTTGCGTTCTGGGCTAGTTGGCGTTGCACGGCTCTTGGGATTCAACCATCTACATAAATCCTTTGACTACTTACGTACATACATACAGCCTTTGCCGTACAAGAAACCGAGTAGATTGTATCCTTGTATAAGCCTTGCTCAGAGGGACATTGTTCATTTTCTTCTATTTGTATTTTTTTTTCTGTTTTGTTTTTTTTTACCATATATGTGCAGTGTAGTTGATACCAAGTTTGTCCTAGTCGATAATCGTGTTGGACCAAAATACGGCAAACTCACGGCTGCCATCACTGCTCACTTGATATACTCCTCTTCGTGTCCATTATTTTGCATAGGCACATAACCACTCACTTGTGACTGCATCTACCACCCCTACTACGTGAGGTACCTGCGTTCCGAGCCACCAACCGCGACATGGTCGGATTCCAGTGCAGCCATATCCTTGCCCTCAATGTCGTCCAGAATGCATTGCCACGCCTCCTCGCACTCCTCTGCTGAGGGCTGGCCGTCCACCCAGCTACACTGCAAATCCCCCACGCCTACTTCAAATCCCCCATCCTCCTCGCCCTCTTCAACCGCATCGTGCGGTTTCTCATGTACCGTACACCGATTAAGCAGGCCCTTTAGAGGTTGCATGTTGGCAGCAAGCCAGTACGCTCGGTGAAAGCGCTTCTCGCTAGCCTTGGGCATGTCGCAGTCCCACCTTTGCCTCAATCTCATATCCACACAATGTTGAAAGAACCCCTGTATGTTGGGTGAAATCGTCGTCCAGTGAATCTCGTCGTGTGTATGTGCAAAGCGACCGTAATACCCGATGCTCGTCGTGGTTTCTGCCGGGGGATACCACTCAAACGGATTCGCAGCATTGTGAAGTACCAGAATTGAAAACCGGTTGCCTTCTTTGATAAAACCAGCTGTCGTGTGAGCATGCCACCTATAAAGGTCTGATGTATAAATGTTTTGCTTGAGCCACTCCTCCATGTATGTCTCAGCAAAGTCAAACTGCGTGTCTGGACGAAGCTCATAGAGTCCCACAGGCCATTTGTAGTCCTCGTACCGCGTCGTAATGGGTTGCTGAGGTCTGGGTACTGGACGGTGGCTAGAGACGCTGTGGAAGGCTTGACTCTGGTATCCAGGATGATATATAGGTCGGTGCCCTTTTCGAGTGTGAGTTTCTTGCTTCTTTCGAGTCTTTGCCTTAGCCTTCAAGTTGTGAGTCGGCCACTGCTGGATTGGCGGAATCTTCTGGATAGGCAATGGCTGAGCATTGAATGACTGGGGGGGTGGATGATGCGTGGACGGTGGTTGTACCTGACATGGCTTTGCTGGTAGTGGAGAGATGAATGGCCGAGGAGACTGATGATGGATGTACGATGATTGCACCTGAAATGGCTTTACTGGCACTGGCGAGGTACACTGCTGATTCTGAGCGTACCAGTTGTACAAGTCACTGAACTGATCGTCATAATCGTGATACTGGCGAGGCGGAGTCGGAGGGCGCACACTCTCAGCCGGTTGATAATGAAAAATCGGTGGTGGGGGATACCAATACGATTGTTAGTCGAGTTCAGGGGAAGGTGGAGTTGGGATAACGGCACCCGCTGTATGCATGTTATAGTGGTAGGCAGGGCCTGTGCGTGTCGAGCCTGTGTCAGGTAAGTCCATTTGGTCGAACCAGGTGGCAGGAGTGGTGTTTGGAGAAGGACCCATCTGACGTTGGTCCAGCAGGCTAGATGGAGAAGGTCATGGTGGTGAGTGGAGAGGCAAAGACTGTGTGGATTGTCGGCGACTGGTGGCAGGCGAGAGAAAGGCTGGGGAGCTCGAGGTGAGAGAAGGGCCGTCTGGGCAGCTGTCTATATACAGGGCAGTCGCAGTGTGTTTCTAGCGTGGCATGGAAAGCTTCGGGTCATGGCGATGCGCACTTGGCCAATCAGTCACGTTGAAGCTCCGCCGTCGCTGCCTGGCACTCGCAGACTGACGTAATCAGACGAGATAAACTTCAGATGGACAGTAGAGGGTTGCAGAAAGGGGGGGTAAGTATAGGTGGCAGTCGATGGGTTTTGGCTGCCTTGCATCTGTACACGCAGGTGAGCGGAAGTCGGCGGTATTCGCCATACCGCTCCATTCTCTCACCATCCAGCACGCTCGCCGTTATCACCCACGCAAGCACGCCTTCACCCGAGATTGCCAGCCTGTCCTCACCCAGCTGACCAAAGCGACTTGTCGAACGAAACAGTCGTCGGCAGACTGCCGTGGAACTTTGCAAGCGACTTGACAAAACCATGGATACGCACATGTGGCTTACTCCAGCCTCCTGCTGCCAGAAAATGCTATCATTTTTACCGTACTCCCTCTTTCGCCGCGCTAGACATCCCACCCATGCGCTTCAACGCCAAACAGACAAGCCAGAATGCAGGGCAACACAGCTCCGGGTAAGCAACATGCCCCACCGTACAGAATTTGGAGCCGCCAAAACAACGTCTACACAACACGCTTAACCTGCCGGCCATGTTAGTTGCGCGCTACAAAAAACGTCTATAAATTCCCCGTGCTTACCTCGAAGAATCGCTTCAACCACCAGACCTGGAAGAAACCCTGGGCAACCAGAAACGTAAGTTGGAAGATGCTCCACCACTTGATGCGCGAGTTGGTGCTTTCAGCAGTGTTTCGGTGGACCCGTTCACGGACGATAATGTAGCTTTGCTCATCCTTGACCTGCTGCACGAGCTCCGACATGGAGCGGACTGTACCCGTTAGCCCATTGCCTTTCTTCTGCAATTCCACGTGTCCTTACCCTCTTTTTCCAAAGGATCTTGCGGGGCTTCCGACTCGGGGACATAGACGATGCCGTGGACGTTGAACGAGACTTCCTTGGTGTTGGCGCCCCAGTGCTCGTTGTTGAAGCAGTAGGTGTATTTGCCGTCTTCAGTCGCGTCAAAGGTGTAGTCGCCATTGGATACGCCGCGTTCGTGGACCTGGTAGCTGCGCGAAGGAGTTTCAATCTGTCATGCCCAATTAGTCCTCGCACTGCTCCCATTGATCGCGCCCAGAGCACCACGGCTGGCCAACGCACCCAAAAGTCAATCTCAAGGTTTCCGCTGCCGCCGAATTCCCGGTCGCCGACCTGGAAAGTCACCGTCATCTTGTCGCCTTTGTGCAGCTGCTCGTGGAAGCATTCGCGCTGGTGGGCCTTCATCTGGATGTTGTGCGCTGTCGCAAAGGACAGCAGGCTGCTCGCCGCAGCAAGGATGGCGAAAGACGGGAACAGCATGTTTGCGGTCGTCGTGGTGCTGCTCTGTCGTGCTCGAGGTTGGACTTGGGGAATCGCCAAGTACACACGGAGATGCCAGCTTGCCCGCAATGTCAGGGCCCGGAACACTAGCGTCGCCTTAGTCAGCTGCATTCCCCCATCTCAACTTTGTCCAGACCTCTTCTTCCTCACAACCATATCCACCCATTCCTGGCGCATAGAAATCATATCATGAATCTCTGCTCATTTTAATTCTCAGCTTATACACATGTTCCTTCACTATCTGCATACGTGACAATGCGCCTCTTGGTACTTTGCGATTGCGACCTTCAGTTGCACTGGTGATGCGAGCAGTGGAGGAGACCTCAAAAGAAACATTTTTGGCCTATTCTATGCTATATCATTCAATCATCTTCTGGGCCTAATAGAAGTAGTATATTCTTATGATGTCAAATCGACGAATTTAAGCTCCTGCTACATATCAGGTCCACAAAGATACATCATATCATAATTGCAGACTGTTGAGCTTAGGCGACACGGAACTCATGGTAGTATTATGCGTGTATTCTTTCGGTTTGGGGTATTCATGCTTCAAAAAATCATTTCACACTCATCGTTTCATTTTCACTCACTCATCTGCCCACGTAAGTTTGCTCGAGTACGAGTCGTTGCTGCCAAGGCAACCGCATCAAATGCACTCACGCAAGATGCTGATTGGCCGCATCCTGTTTGCCCATCTTACCTCACCTTCACTACCAGTTCATTCGATCGTAGTAGACTCATATCTTCGGCGTCTTTTTCTTCACTCTTTCAAAGATTTCATGCTCGAGTCCCGACGACCAACTCTCCCGGCCTTGATTTCTACGAACACTGATCATGTCCTACTCGCATGGTGCTCCCCGTCGGGTGTCGCTAGGATATATACTTGGATTCAGCGACAAGCCCTTCAAGGATCCAAAGCCGCCTCTGCCACCGCCACCACCGCCGCGTCCCAAAAAGCCATGCCAGCTGACAGAACTAGTAGGCCAATGATGGTATACTCGATTCACATCCAGCTCTAATCAATCTAGATTGCCACCCCAGGAGGATTGGTCGAGTGGACGGCGAGTGACGGGCGCAAGGGCACACTCACAGGAAAGGGCAAATCGCGACTCACAGCAGCCAGCCTTGCCAGAATACCATCAGATAGGCGGTCCACCAAAGAATTGCTCGCTGTCAAGGATACTTCGAAAAAGTCTGCCGATAACGCTGAAGGTGCAGAGGCATCTGGGGGTTGCGGAGTTGAGGCTACCAATGGATCTCGGAAGTCAGGTTCGAAGAAGGCATCTAGCAATAAGGATGGTCCCAGTAGTGGCTCGACCAAAGCATCTCAGAAAAACACCAGTGGCAGTGCAAATATTCAGGACACCGGAGCCCAAGCAGATGCTGCTGGTGGTGACAGCAAGAAGGGTGAAAAGGACACAAGCAGTAATACAAAGGATGCAGCTGCCCAAAACACTACCACTGCTGAGAATGGCAAAGAAAAGGAAGATGAAGAGTCGAATACATGGACGAAGGAGCAGGACGAAACAATTATACAGATGAAGACGGAAAATGCGTCGGTGCAATGGGCTGTCGTGGCCGAAAAAGTTGGCAAGTCTGTTGAAGAGTGCAAGAGTCGATTCAAAGAAATCAAACCTAAGGATTGGAAACCGAATAACGTGCAGAACAACACTAGTAATGGATATACAGCCAAGAACAAGAACAAGAACAAGAATGGTAATCAGAACCAAAACCAGGGAGGCAAAGAAGGTGGCAAGAAGGTGGAAGAACAGAAAGAAGCAAAGAAAGCGGATGAAAATGACGACAATGGGTGGGCAGCCATGGGTTTCAATGGGCTTATGGGCGACGGCAATGATGGTAAGCAGGATGACACTGCTAACGTCAACAATACGAACACGTGGGAACAAAATGGTACAGGATGGAATTCGGACAATACAAACCCCCAAAACACTGATAACGCCAACAACACGAACGGCTGGGGAGGAGATGATAGCTGGGGAAATACAGGTGTGAATGGAGGCACTGAACAACCCAACGATGCAAACGACTGGATAATAGAAAATCAGACGAACACGAATGGCGACTCGTGGAATAACACAGCAAATGCTAAGGGCGACAACAACCAGGATATCGCCAATTCATGGGATCCAGTTGATGCAGGAGCCGCACCAACAAATTGGGACATTCCCGGCCAACAGACGAATAACGTCACAGGCAGCAACACTCAACCTGCAAACGAATGGCCAAGTGCAGCAAACGCCCCATCAGACCCTCACTCTAATAACGCGCCTGTCGACACAAGCTGGGGCACGATCAACATGCAGACCAACAACGACAACAACAATAACAACAACACAGGCGGTAACACCCAAGCTGCTCCCGCACAACAGTCCGCAGACGCAGCCAAACCCCCATCAGCACCTCGCTCCAACAAAGCACCCTCCGAGTCGCGCTCCCACCGCAGCTCTGCCGGCGGCAAATCCAAGTCCAGCACGCACAGCCGGCCCCTCGAGCTCGAGCTCAAGCCCGACGACACGTTTTCCGCCGACGACTTGCGCTTGATTGCTCGCATTCTGCAGCAGGACTGCAAGATGGTGTGGAATAGGGTTAGCTGGAGGTTTCGCGATAAAACGGGTAGGGTTTTGGATCCCGAGGTGTTTGAGAGGAAGATTACGGGGAGTGTGGAGAAGGAGGGGAGTCAGAGGGGGGAGGGAAAGAAGTAGTGCGGGAGGTTTCAAGGTGCTGGATACAGTGGAGGTGAAGGTGGGGGGTATTGGGCGTGCAGTGAGGCTGGAGCATGACTGGAAGGACGACTGGTTTTGTGAACTCGATCTACCGGTGGACGCGGATAGCTCCAAGGTCATTCTGGTCATTTGGTCTTGTCCTTGGTGGATGGTGTGCTAGTGCAACCTACAAGCGCAGAACTTGTAGTGTACGGTATTTGTCCCCGGCCAAGTTTTCAAATAATTGATTTGCTTTTACTATCTTAAGTCTGCCCGACAATATTCCTCATATGCACAGGATACCACTCCACCTCAATCCCCTACTCCAACAATCCCAATACTCCCTCCCAGGGCTCCAGCTCCACCACTCCACTCTTGGCCCTACCCTCGAGCTCCCTCTCATCATAATTGCCCGCAACCCACTCCTTGACCTTGAGCTCCCCCAAATTCTCCCAGCCGACCTTCTCGCTGCTAAAGTTGAGCACAGTCAGATACGCCTTATCGGCACTCCACCGTCGAAACGCGACAATCTTCTCATCCTCCATATCCAGCATCTCAAAGTCGCCGTACACAAACACGTCTTTGTTTTCTTTTCTGAAGGCAAGCGCTCGCTGCCAGAAGGCGTGGACGGATAGCATGCCGGGGCTGGGCTGCGGGGTTTCCAGCTGCGCGGCGACGTTGACGGCGGGGTAGTCGTCGTTGACGCGCATCCAGGGAGTTCCGGATGTGAAGCCCGCCTGGGGCTCGGCGGACCATTGGACGGGCGTGCGGGCGTTGTCGCGGGCTTTGCGCTGCATGATTTGCGCGGCGAGAGCTTGTTTCAAGGCTTCGTTGGGGTAGAGGTCGCGGTATCTGTGAGAGAGAGAGAGTTAATCTTACTGCAGCGAGGAAGATTTTTTGTGTGTTATGAGACGTACTTTTTGAAGAAATTAATGCTTTCAATGTCTTTGTATTCTTCCGGGCCCCACTCGTTGGGTACGTTGCGCATGCCGATTTCCTCGCCTTGGTACACGTACAGCGTGCCGGCAAGGGTTGTTTGCATCAGACAGAGCAGCTTTGCGCCGTAGTCGCGCCACTGGTCGCTGTCGTCGGTGTACCGGCTTACGCTGCGTGGCTGGTCGTGGTTCTCGACGTACAGCGTGTTCCAGCCGTCGCGCTCGAGCATCAGGCGCTGCAGTCTGTTGATAATCTTCTTCAGATCGCGCGCGTCCCAGGGATTCAGCGTGTACTTGAAATCGCCAGGGACGTTGTCGATGTCGACGAGGTCGAAGTTGAAAATCATGTTTAGCTCGCCGCTTTGTTCGCCGACGACCTTGATGACTTCGTCTTCGTCACGGACGAAGGGCATCTCGCCTACGGTCAGTGTGTCATACTTTGACAACACATCCTCGTGAAGGTCCTTGAGCCACTCGTGCAGTCGCGGACCATTTGCAAAATACTTGTCACCTGGCTGGTACTTGTTGTCTGTGACTGAGATGGGTGCATCAGGGAAGGTCTGGACCTTTGAGATGAGGTTGATGACGTCCATGCGGAAACCGGAGACGCCTCGATCAAGCCAGAAGCGAAGGATGTCGTGCACCGCTGCACGTACATCTGGTTTCTCCCAGTTGAGATCTGGCTGCTCAGGTGTAAAGAGCGACAAATAGTACTCCTGCGTCTTCTCATCCCAAGTCCATGCGGAGTTGGCTTCTCCCAGGATCTGCGCCCAGTTGTTGGGTGGCTGACGGTTTCCGTCAGCATCGTACTTTGCTGGCTTCCAAATGTACCAATCTCGCTTCTTTGAGTCCTTGGATGAGCGAGAATCGAGAAACCATGCATGCTCTTCCGAGGTGTGATTGACAACCACATCCATCACCAACTTCATGCCGCGCTTCTTGACTTGGCTGATTAGATTGTCGACATCCGCCAAGGTGCCGTAGCTAGGGTCAATATCCTCGTAGTCGGCAATGTCGTAGCCCATGTCCGCTTGCGGGCTCTTGTAGATTGGAGATAGCCATATCACGTCGACGCCTAGGTCTTTGAGGTAGTCCAGCTTGGATGTGATGCCGGGTACATCGCCCCAGCCATCACCGTTGCTGTCGAGAAATGAGGCGGGGTAGATCTGGTATGCGGTGAATACAAAGAGAGGTGACGATCAGTGGCAGATCTTACCTGATACACGACCGCCTCCTTCCACCACCGATGCTTGTCAGTACCGACATAAAGATGCTTCTTTTCGGTAGCAGCTGACATTTCGCGTTGTTCTATTGGGCGCAATTGATAAAGATCACAGTACTGGAAATGTGAGGTTAAGCCGAGTTGGACATGTGTCGTGTTTGGTTATAAACGTCACGAGGCGGTGCCTTTTGTGGACCCTTGGCAGCGGCTCCATAGGTACAAGACGCGCATGCGCCCCCGTCAACAGAAAACCCGCGACACCGCGTCCCATCTGTCCAATATCCTTGTGAGGTTGTTACCATATTTGTTCTACGTCGATATTCTACAGATGTGGTCAGGCTACAGGTTTGGAAATGATCATGGTTGCAGAGCTGAAGAGCTGGTGTTGGGCTAATCGCGTTTCGTGTTGGCCTAGTGGATGTCTGGGTTTTTGTGATGACGGCGTGCATGGCAACGTGTGCAATGCGGACCGATTGCGGCGCATACCGCAGCAGCTGAGATTCTTGCAGGTCTGGTTCAGCGACATCTGGGGCGATGAGCCTATAAGCTGCGCGTGGCGGTCCAAGGTGTTGGGGTGGCGTGAAATGGAGCTGCTGATCGGTAGCCAGCCTGCTCCTCCTCGCGGCACGGACTGGACTTTCTCAGCCGCTGTAATGCTCCGTTCGCGCACAACTCGCAAATTCCTTCTATCGCACTAGAGGGAAAGACACCCGAAGAAGCGCAGAAACACATCTCCATTAGCGTTGTGTAGAAAGTATCGAACGTTGCAGCCTGTCAAATGTCTGGAACCCCGCCCCACCATCAGCACGTTAGCGGCATCTCCATTCAGAACCATTTGGCACGCGATGAGTTGTTTGCTGGCTCGAACACATCCCCGGGTATTCTATGCAATGCTTTTTCGGGATATACATTACATGCTAATACGGCTGCCATCTAGAAGAGTTGAACCGGGTCCTCGAGGCGCTCTTCGTCTCTGACCCTTACCTCCATCGCAAGCGCCGTATCGCCGTCTTAGGGGAGCCATTCCCAGACAGTTGCAAATGGATCACATATGATGAGAATTATTCCGCCTGGCTAAATGGCAAGAATACTGGCGACAGGAATTACAATAGCAATACGCGCGTGCTGTGGATATCTGGCGGTCTTGGTTCGGGCAAGACGATGCTGTCTATCTTCCTAACAGAAGAGCTGGAGAGCTACACAGCGCAGACAGACAACGCAGATGTGATTTTCTTCTTCGTCATGAGCTATGATCCGCACAACACAGCCCTAGCACTACTTCGTGGACTTATACATCAAATCATCAAGAAGCGGCCACAACTGCTCAAGCACGCACTACCATACTTTACGCCAGGCCAGACACAGGTAACGCTGTTGTCTGTAGACACACTATGGCTCATTTTCAGTAAGCTCATCACTGATGCTGAGCTTGGGACCATGTTCTGCGTGCTTGACGGGATTGAAGAGGGTGACAAGAGCATAGCAGAAGAATTACTACCTAAGATTATCAGCCTGCTCCAAGGTGGTACCTTACCATCCGTAGAGGTTCCAAGAAAGAGCATATTCAAGCTAGTAATGCTCAGTCGAGACATGCCTGGCCTGCAAGACGTCCCAAGGATAACGATGCCAGACTTACTGGATACCCTTTCAGAGACATATACCCGTACACTACTAAAAATCCCGCTTCAGCATCGGGAGGCTAGCCGGGAGATATTAAAGTGGGTAACGTTTGCCGCTCGCCCCCTCCGGCTGCAAGAGCTAGCGGCGGCGGTGCGCATCCAGCCCCCTACCGAAATGGCCATCGAAGCAATCATCTCGCTGCATAGTCCTCTGTTAAAGATACAAGGGTGGGGCAGAGTCACCTTTGCCCACGAGTCTGCACAAGACTACCTGCAGCGCGAGCTGCGCGATGACCATGCAGTGCTAGAGGGATTTCGACTCGAACCCAGCAGAGCGCATTTTGACCTAGCACAAGCGTGCCTCGACTGCATTGAGCAAAGCGACTTATCAAGTCGTACAGATCTCAAAACAGAGAGCAGGCAGAAATCTGAGAAACCTGAGAAATCTGCGTTATTATCCTATGCTGTGATGGAATGGCACCAGCATGCGAATCATTGTTCAATGTTCGCGGCCCAGCTTTGTGACCCTGCTCGGCCATTTTTCGAGGCGAATTCTTCTGCACGGAAATTTTGGTGGAACAAATACACAAGAGGAGGCGTTTCAAATCCTTCGGCACTGTATATGGCTTGCTCATCCGGAGCCCTTACATGGATAGAAGCAATACTTTCCAAGAACCATAAAGAAACGAGATCAGATCATGAGCTTGCAAATCACCAAGAAGATAATTATCATGTACCAGAAGAAGTGTTAAAAGCGGCTGCCAGGAACGAAGAAAATGGCGCAGAAGTCTTATGGCTGCTTATTGAGCGGCTAGGAGATAGCATTCAGATCACGGAAGAAGTGTTAAAGGCGGCTGCCGGGAACACGAACGCGGGTGGTGATGTCATGGATCTCCTCCTTAATCATCAAGAAGATATTCAGATAACAGAGGAGATAGTAGAGGCGGCCGCTAGTAATAAAGCGATTGGCCAGGAAGTCATATCTCTCTTGAAGAGACGACAAAACGCCTACCACCTAAGGGCGCAGGCACAAAGCACTGGCTCGTCATTGATAGAAGAGAGCCTTTCGCATATGGCATCATTCACTATTTTTTCGTCGCAGGAAGAGAAGGCGACTGAAGCAACTTCAGTTTCGGGTCCTTGCGCATTCTCAGTCTTCCAGTCTCGGAAAGAAGCTCCTGAACAGGACGACAATGCTTCCGTGATATCTCAGGATACTGTGGACATGACACCAGAACAAGATGCGGAGGTCATTTTGAAATTTGCAGATGCTCTATACGAGGGCACTCGGCACCTCGACTTTCCTTTTGATGGGTCCAGCATGATTCATGATACGCTACTTGAGACTAAAATCAAGGGGTTTAGTCAAAAGGTTAAAGACGATAATCCACGACATAGCAAGGAACGGAAACCGACACGAAAGGTAGCGAAAGCCATACATCGTCTCAGCCTGGATATATCGAGAAATTTTGCACGGAAGCTGTTCAATGATGACTTGCATTCTTCCGGAGCCGAATCAGACAGCATTCCGGAAAGACCCTTACTCCACTTTGATATCCCACAGGAGTCAATGGAAGAAAAGATTGAAAGATTAGGACATACCGATGTTGAAAGTCCGACAACTGTGGTCGAGACACGCCATGACCAGGGATATGATTCAGAAAGTTCAGATAGTTCGGATTCTCTGTCTCCGATAACACATATTCGGCCTGACTTCGAAAGCTTGTATGGGTATTTCAAAGACCATCCCGCTTTTGGGGCACTGATATTGGATATACAACAATTGATGAAGCACTTCCACTATGATGCTCTGGACCATATACGGCACAGTGTGTCTCAGGTCACGGAAAACGCATCAAACTCAACTCTGCATTCCGAAAGAATATTCGAAGCTCAGTTCCACGCAGACTGGAACCTGTTGCGTTTTCTGGAAGAGCGTCGAGCTTACGGGTTGAACGGTGATTTGGGCTCTGCCCTGATAATTACAGGCAACACACAGGCCGCACAGCTCGAAACAGTTGCACAATACCTTCTCCAGACGTGGGATGTACATTGCGATGCTCTCCTACCTGCACTTCAGGAAGCAATTTCTGGCTCACACGGTAAGATTTCCATTTCAGAATCTTTTCACGTCCTATCCGTTAGCACATTTGATCTTAATGCATTGACCGCAGTGCCGAATTCTGACGATCAATCTTTGGATACACGAATCGTTTTCACTGAAGGTAAAGTCTCAGCATCAGTCACAGGGCCAAAAGATTTCCTAGTTGCTGTGGCCCAACAACTAGCATGGCTGGGTGCCACCTGTAGACCTCGTGAAGAACAATTGCCGTCCGAAACACGCCAACATCCATACTACCACGACACCATTTTGACACAGGACAATACTGAACTCAATGAGTTTCGTATATCGTATGTCAAAGTGCTGGTTGACGAAGACGAGGCTTCACAGTCCTGGACCTGTCTACTCGATGGACCGTGCATTGCTTCTGGCTGTCCCATCAGCGTGCGCTCGGAAGACGAGGCTGGATTACAATTACCATCAGACTTCTTAGGCACTAAAGAAACAGCCTTAGAAGTACTGACGGTCAGGGGTACAGCACCAGCTGGGTCTTCGACAAAATGTTTCATCAACGGTTGGGGAAGCTACAATTTCGAAAAGGAATTTCAGAGTTCGGAGCAACCCAGAAGTTTGATTTTTCTGGAACAGAAACTCAACAGCAATATTTCCGTACTGGCATATTATCGACAATCTCTGATGAATTTGGCAAAGAGACACAAGCAGACTGGTACTGAACACAGGCTCCCGTCAAGTAACAAATTACCTCATGTCGTGTCTGAGTTGCTGGATACTGACCCAAGTTCTATCGACTGGTCTTATGGGCATGCAATCAGCTTTTCTAACAATCTCAAAAGCAAATTTGAAGATTGGACGAGAGAAGAGTGGGACTGGTGGCCGTTCAGGCACCCACAGAGAGCGCTTCGTTCTAGCGAAGCACGGCTGTACTGGACTTGTGTAAGCACTGGATCCAGGGTTCTGATGTAGCAAATTTAGATCTGACAAGTGTCAGGTATGCGGAGAGAAAAGATGGGCAGAAGTCCCAGCAGACTTCGCAAAGAGGGCAACTCGAATTGCCAAAGCATGCCGTCTTAAAATTGGACGACTTGCACATTCCACACCGGGTCAAGCCTCTGCAGGGACACCTTCACAGGCACAGCCATCTATTGCAAATCCATCAAGCAGTAACATCGCACAAAGCTCATCAAGTCAAAGTCAAAAAGTCAGCGGGCCTGGTTCGCCCTCCAATAACCCCAACATTGGATGCAGCTCAAGCACCCCCATTAGCACCCCTTCTTCAACCTTACCTTCTCAACACGTATTTCTTCTAGTGACCTCTGGCAACGATTTTCGTCTTGCTCAGATCAGAGTCGACAATATCGAAACATACAAGTTCTTCCACGAATTGCGACGCCGATACAACAGTCTCCGGCCTTTTTTGAGAAGGTGGCTCAGCATTTGGGTCTATTCTCACTGTGATTTCTATCAGGTAAGATTTTCCCTATACGATTAAACCCTCTTCATACTATGTACAAATACTCACTTAAATCACAAAAGTGCGACAAGTGGGAAGCTTACCTTTACGAGCCTCGACGAGAGGAATTCCCAAATGGTGTAGAATACCAGTATGCGCCGCGCCCTATGGATCCTATGCCGCCAATCACTCCGCACCAGTTCTATCATCGCTTCCACGCTTGCTACGATCCGCGCCCATACTTCCATTTCTACCACAAATGCAGAAGCTTCAACAAGTTCACTCGAGACCATCTGAGAATGATACCAAAGCGTGAATTGACTATCGTCGAAGGTTCAGACAAACAAGAGGCTTTCTGGGGAATATTTGCACGCGAACGACCGTCGATACTTCGCCTTCTGCTTTACAACTTCGCATGCGCGCTACCCTGCATTATTTTCTTCTTCATGTGGCTCTTTTCATGGGGGCATAGTGGAGATTTGCAAACTGCCTCGGTTCCTATTTCTGTTATGCTGGCATTGCTTTCGGTTTTTTGGAGCATTTTCTTTGCCCATCTGGAAATCAACCAGGGAGATAACAGATCTCGGATGTGATGAGAAGCATCTGTATTACATTACAAATATTTGTTAGATATAGGCAGCCTGATCTAAGCAAGCAGTTTTTCAAAGGGATATATGAAAATATACATAGCTATGAATTAGAAAACTAGTACCAATTTCACGTAGCTGAAACAGCGCATCGATGCTCTTTGATTGGCAGCTGAAACTTAGCTGTAGCATTAATAACTATAATAGTACGCAACGGGTGAGTGGGTATAGTAGGTAGTAATAGATACGCCTAAAGCGCACTAGCGCGAGGGAATCACGTGATGATCATCCAACAAGAGCCAATTGGATCAAAGTCCAATTCAGCTGATAACTGTCATGTTCTGTAAAGATTTCCACATTGTAGTAAAGCCCAAGTCACCGATATTTTGCAGAGAGAGCCCTATTCAAAACTTGAGTTGGAGACTGTAATATTGGTGATGGACAACATGCGACCCTCAATAGGCTAGTAGCATTTTTAGCAGTATCGACAGCGCGCCAGTGAAGCGCGACCAAGGACACACTCCCGACGTTTGGCATCTCAATCTATGCTTGGCTCTAATCACAGGAGCAACATACATCGCAGCCTAATGTCATTTGTGCAGCCAGGCGACAGCCGCGGACACTGTGGTGATTGGCCGGCCTCAATATCCAACTGCGTCATGAGCTAACAGCGCACGAGACCCATTGCTTGCTTCAGAAACCGGGAAGAAGCAACTACACAGCATATACATTTGGCAACACGGCCGTCCATCTTTCTGCGATACTAGAAACTCTGATCCATCTCCGCATCTCGGTCCGATAGATAGATACCGCGAGATCAGCATCGACTGCAACGGACCAACCTCGAAGCCAAGACATTTTTGCGAGCTATGACGCACCAATCGGATCTCGAAGAGCGAGGCACATCCGGCTCGCGGACACCACTGCTCGGGTGCTCTGCACATCAGCGGATTGGGGCGGGGGCTATTCAAATGACAAGAAATGGTCTGCGTTTCGGGTGTTCCAGTTCTTCGGTGGTGGTATTTACGCCCCGGATTCGACGACGTATGATCCGATTGAGATCCTGCTGAACACGGAGGATGAGGATGAGAGGGATGATCTTACCATTTTGTGGAGGGACAATAAGCTGAGTGAACTGAACTTTGTGGGTGTTGTGGTAAGTACCAAGGCCGATTGTTGCAAGGTCACGTGTTTCACGCGAGCGTACTGCAAGAGTGCCTAGCAGGCGGTGGCTCGGGGTCTCTTGGCAAACAGAACAAACTTGCAGAATCACGATTATATCTCACAGAGAAATAAAGAGAATATAGTAGAGAAACTGACATGCAACAGGCTGCCCTCCTTGCTGGTGTCCTTACGTCCACAGGAAGCTGGCCAGACATTTTACCAAACGGCGAATCGTCACCATGGTCTGTACGCACGTCGTGGTACTGCGGTATTATTCTCTCCCTGTTCAGCATCCTCACAGCTGCCGATCAAACTGTCCGGCTCCACCGCCTCTCGTCGCACCGTGATGGACTTGAGAATATCCGCAAACTACTTGGAAAAACGAACGGCGAGAAGAGCCATTCTCCTAAGACGGGCCGGAGATCGCCGAGCCGTCTTCAGATCTTTACTTGGCAGATGCCCGTCATGTTCCTGACTTCTGCAACCATATGCATGATTGTCGGCATGTTCCTGCATGTGTGGTCTGCAACCACGCATTTGGACCATCCACGGTTGTGGGACGACAATACCAAGGTACGCTACTTATTTCATGCATATCAATAGACTTACTCATACCCGATGCAGGTTGCTGCAACGTACAGCGCAGTCGCCATTGCCGCTGTTATAATTTTCTTCATTGGCCAAGTCTCGCTCTTTGCGCCACTTCGCTAGTCATGGGGATCAGTGTGTCCTCTTGTCCGGTCCTTGGCAGTAGGGGTGCTTGCATTGCTTTAAATTGTGAATAAATTTGTGGAGTCGCCAATCGCGATACTACATTATACCTGAATCGTAACCATGTCCATCGAATCAATACTTGAGATGCATCACAGGTCGCATTCTTCGAGCACCGTTATGATGACCTTGGTGTTTCCCTTAAGCACGCGCCCAGACCTTCAGAACCTCAGCAGCGGAGGAAGCGGTCAAGTTAGCGAGCGCCATGGTAGTTTAGAGAAAGATCTCCTCAAGTCCTCGTGCCGTTGTTGATCCAGGCCCGAAAGGGAAGAGAAAGTTTCGCCATGCGATAACTAGATGGCTTCCTTTTGACTAATTGCACTAAGTTCCCGGAATAGATGCGAACGCTGCAGGAACGGGTGATCGGTCACTCTGCCTTCGAGCTTCGGGACTCCGAGGGGCGGTGAGGTGAACCGGGTAACCCATTCAGCTGCGTTCATCATGGAGGATCTAAACCAAACTTCGAACCACAAGAGGATGAGAAGGAACCAGTGTGCAGGTATAGATAGGACTAACCCCGACTTAACGGGAAACCGTCCTATGCCCCAACAAAGGCTGTAGGAGTGCCTTTGCCTGCCTACTGGTGGAGACTTTTTTCCGGCTAAGCCTTTCGGATCTTAAAAGTAAATTTTGTTCCTGAATCAGAGCTCTCTTGGCACATAATAAGGAACCGAGTTTGAAGATCTTGGTCCCCAAAGCTTGTCTCTCGAGCAACTGTGCCGCAGTGTAACCAGAGGCACCGCTCTGTGCATGGCATGTTGTCTGATTCGAGGCAAACAGGGTTCTGGTATCTTGGCAAAAGCCTCCCAACCACGTGTCTGGTGCCTGGAGAGCTGTTCATGCGCGTCGGAAAAGTAGCGGTGGTTTTGGCAAAAGCAATGAAAAGGGGATGGATAAATGAAGGACTCGGGCAGTGACTTTGATCATGCAGTGATGGCAGGCGAGAATGTTGGTTTTAGGATCTGTTCAACATTCCATGCCCCCCCATATCCTCCCGCACTCGGTCATGCTTAGATGGAAACATGGGTGCGCCCAACAAGATCTGCATCACGCCAGGCGAGAGTGCGTTGTGTGTAGCCAGCCGATGAGTCCGAGCGGGGAGGGCGTACAACTGGTGGCCTTGGCCTACTCAGGGCTGAGCCCGGTAATGGTGAGGGCCTATTTCTGGCGAGGACGCAGGGATACTCGGCGAGTATGTAAGGACGCTAGACTTGTTAAGTATTGCTTGCAGCGAAAAAAATCCCATTCGAGGGTTTCATGTGGAGTAAAAAAGCCGGCGACTGGCAAACTCGCGAAGAAGAAAACACTCGAGATGGACTGCAGCTTGCCCCCAGCGCCGAAGCTGGAACAACAACAAATTCACTCAGGAGGTACTTGGCAGGGCTCGCCTTGTCCTCACGGGCGTTTGTCTCGGTTGGCCAAGCGCGCCTTGGGGGCCAATATGCAGCTGGAAGCATTTCACCGCCCTCCGTTGTCTAGTTGGCCAGCTCTCCCCTCGTCCATGGCTACTCATGGCGCCACGCCTGCGATGCATTTATTGAGGGATCGTCGGCTCCCCGCGTTTTCTTGGCAATGAGCTTGGCATCCGACTGTTGTGTAAAACTTACTGTCTGCTTTTACTACCCCATTTGGCGGCGGGGATGCAGATCAGCCAATGGCACGGCCGCGTGTCAGCTGAAGCTGACAAGCCAGTGCCCCAAAAGTGCAACGCCACACATTAAGCCTCGTATTCGGGAGGCGCTTTGATCTGTACCAAGGTATCAGGAAAGCTGCGATGCTTCGGATGTATGCTTTGATGTTTTTCGGCTTATGCGCTGGAAGTGTTTAAGAAGAGACGCGAGGACCGCCAGGAAGACATGTCCAGGCACAGCTTTCTGTCTTTCTCTCTCTCTCTTCTCATTCTTCAAGATGCGTTTCCTAGCTCTCTCATCGCTTAGCTTGTTTGTCAGCGCTGCCGCTGCATACGAGGAGTTGCAGAATGCATGCGAGGAGCTTGCAGCTGTCCTCCCTAACAACACCTTTTACCCCACGGCTCCAACATACAATGCCTCAGTTCAGTCGTACCCCTTCCTTCAGCAAAGAGTTCACCCTTCTTGTATCTTTCGCCCAAGCACACCTAGCGATGTATCTACAGCCGTTACCATCCTAGCGCGGACAAATGGCACCAAGTTTGCGATTAAGGGTGGAGGCCACAACCCCATGGTCGGCTCTAACAACATTGAGAATGGTGTCACAATCGACATGCAGAGTCTGAACAAGGTGCAGGTCGCAAAGGGCGACAAGGTGGTCATGGTCAATGCCGGAGCACTGTGGCAGAATGTTTATGACGAGGCTGACAAGCGTAACCTGACGGTTATGGGTGGACGAATTGGTGTTGTTGGAACTGCTGGTTTCCTGACTGGTGGTAAGTAAAATCTCCCTTGAGATCTGTTTGATCAAACACTCATCGCTCACTAGGCGGTATCTCATTCCTGAGCCCCGAACACGGCTGGGCATGTGATGCGGTAGTCAACTTTGAAGTCGCGCTCGCCAGTGGCAAGATTATCAACGCCAACGCGACATCGCACTCTGACCTCTTCGCCGCCTTGAAGGGTGGCCAGAATAACTTTGGTATCGTCACACGCTTCGACCTCAAGGCCTACCCCACGCGTAAAATCTGGGGTGGCCGAACCGTGTACGGTCCCAACGCCACTACATCTTTGCTGACAGCATACACCAACTTCAAGATGGGCACATATGACCCGTATGCCGCTGGTTGGGTGACCGTACGATACAACCACACAGCTGCTACCTTCAGCCCAGTGAGCATCATGTGGTACACCAAGACCGAGCAGAAGCCAGGCGCGTTGAAGGAAATCACCGAAGTGCAGCCTCAGGTGATGAACGGCAGGATTGAGGCGCCTATCAGCGAGCACACGAGGAACGCCTCGCGCCAGGTTTCCGCGAACCCCCAACGAACCATCTGGGCGACTACTTCTTTCAATATCAACCCAACTATCATGCACAGCATTCACGCTATGTGGAACAAGATTGTACCCGAAATCTGCAAGCAATACGCTGCCGCGAAGCCTATTGCAGAAATTACCTTCCAGGCTCTTCCCGCGCCACCGCGCAACGGCACTGCGCCCAACATCATGGGATTCAAGCCTGACGACACGCCTGAAAAGGACCTGATCTTCCTCCAAATCATCTTCACCTTTGAGGGACCCGAGTCCTTTGACGGCTTCGAAGAGGCACTAAAAGACCTGGTTAAAATGGTCAAAGACATTACCAAGAAGGAGGGCGTCTACCACCCATACCAATACTTGAACTTTGCCGCTTCGTTCCAGGATCCCCTGGGCAGCTACGGCAAGAAGCAGCTGAAGAAGCTGATCAAAATGGGGGAGAAGTACGACCCTGAGGGTGTTTTCCAGACACAGGTTCCTGGTGGATTCAAGCTTATTTGAGCGACTTGAGTCATGATTTTACTGCGTATATGAGGACTGTTTCTGTCTATAGTCTAGACTAATGTGCAATATTAATGAGACATCCACACGATGTGATGATTTAACACTACTAGAACATCTGCAACTGTGTGCCATGTTGTGACTATGATTTGCACGTAGTGATTCTTGAATCTACACTAAAAGCCTATCTAGACGGAAACAGATGCTACTATCCAACAAGCCCACTCTCCTAGTTTCGATTCGCTCAAGATACAGAGCTTCACACGTGTTATTCACTGCTTATGTTTGCAAATCGTTTCTTACATAAAGGTGTCTCTTGAACACAGGCAATTACTATGTAGATTCCAATTTTCCCAAATTCACATATATCTGAATATCAGTAAAATACCGGATCCTGTCCCCACGCCAAATCTTAGATTTTTCCTCCACGTGCTATTGTCTCAACACTATACTACTTGCCTATTAATTGCGACATTGCCCAACGCTTCTGAGTATACTACTTGACTTTCTATTAGCAATAAATCTTCAAAAATCGAAACATGCACCCTGCTGTCATCTTCGCTGCGACGATTGCAGCGATACTTGAGTTCTGGGTTGTCTTCGCAGTCACATACGCGGCTTTGCAGCGATACGACGGACGGAGATTTGGCGCAAGGGTCAAAGATGCCTTGCGTTTTCCAATTCTGAACATCTTTAGGGTCATATGGGAGCCATAGGGTTTTGTAGGATGGCCGATTTTTCGTGGTGCGATGGGACGATTTCCCAAACCATTACCATTCACCTACAAGTTTTGTTGTCCCGCAAAGAGATACGAACGCTAATCTTCGTTTCCCTAATGTTTTTCTATTCGCGAGCTATCATAGATGATGCGATAGGCGTATGCACTCAATTGTTGCTTGGATACTTTGGCGCTAGTCAAAGATGTTGAATGAAGATCCACGGCTTATCTGTGTTCCAATATAGACATTCATTGCAAATTGCTTTTTCTTCAAGCGTGAGTAAATGGTGTGAACGAATGATAGATTCGTTCGGGATGATTAGAACCAAATGAGCCCGAGATCGAACGTAGTCGGTGGCACGACAACTGGGTTCGGCAATTCAAGTCAGCTCTTCCGCCCAACTGTGACGTTGCTGCATGAGCACCAGAGGCAAAGACAAGCGGAGTGGGAAGGGCATCAACGGTAAGGTCTGAGGTGTTATTGGCGATCCATAATGAATGAAAGCACCAGCGAGGCTGCAGCAGGCACCTGCGCTTGCTACGTCACTGGCAGTGCGCTAACGTAGATTAAGTCTAGCGTATATCTAGTCCGCGGAGGTGTGCTCAGCACGGTCTCTCTATCCCATGGTTTTCCAAGTCTCAGGGTATCAAAAGTAGAGTCTAATCAGAATTCCGTACCGCAGAGTGCCCCTAGTCCCCTTAGAACATTTGCCGGTTCCTCATTTCGACTGGCAAGAAGCACATCAGCACCGCGGAAAGCCAAATGCCACCAGCTCCTAGCCAAAGAATACCGGCGCTTTTTTCGGCAAGGAACTGAGCGCCAGCGTACGGTGCGACTATTCCAGCTATGCGACCTAGGCACGACAGCATGCCACTGACACTTCCTCGGTAGACAGTGTCGAATAACTCTGGAGCAGACGCATATAAAACGGCGTTGAAATACTAGATTTGTTAGTAAAATGTACACACATGGTTTGCTAGTACGAACCGTTTGCATAATGTATTCGAGCGCATTCAGGCCGACATAAGCGGCAGTCGAGGACACCTGGGTATATAGGGCCATGGAGAGTCCTTGGCAGAGAGCAGAAAAGACGAGCGACCATTTCCGGCCCAGCAACGGCATCTGAACCGAAGCCAACGCGATCAGCGCGCCGATGATTCCAGGGAAATAAATTATCATGTACTGTTCGTAAGTATCGCTAACGCTTGTTCTGCCGTCCGAAACGTTGTTGTTGTAGAGAATGATGGGAAGGAAAGACCCCGCCAGGTTGAATGACCAGTAGTCTCCCTAGAACCTAGTTAGCAAAGTCTTGATAATGGAGTTTATAACCTGCCATGTAGGTGAGAGCCAATAAGACAAAGATGTAGGCTGACAGCTTATTATTGAATATGCCCTTTAAACGAGTCATTTCTTTCCCAAACCCTTGAATAACACTCTTCGTTGTGGCTTTCGTGCCCTGAGGGGTTTTGGTTCTGACATGTGCACCAGATGTCGCATTGGAAGCGGCCTCATCAATTGCAGAAAACATATCTACGGTCAATGTTGGAGGCGGCTGCTTGTTGAATTTGGCGATTTTGTGCAGGACCTCGATGGCCTCAGCCTCTTTGCCTCTAGCGAGTAAGAACTTTGGCGATTCGTGAAATTTGAAGATGAAGAAGCGAAGGAAGAACACGGCCAATGTCATGCAGCCGAGGACAATGACGTTGTAGCGCCAGCCCATGTTACTTCCGACTGTGCAGCAAGCTTCACCGTCACCGACAGTCCTGCAAGAAGGCAAGTCGGGATTGCAGCGCCACTTTGCAGTGGTACCATAGGCAATGACGGATGCAATGGCAACTCCAATGGGCTGCCACATGGACAGAAGCGCAACTAGAAAGCGGCGGTTGCGAGGAAGAAATTCAAGCGCGATGGTCGCGTCGATAGGGATATTACCTCCTAAGCCGAGTGACGCTAGAAAGTAGATGGCGCATATCGCACTGTAGTTGAACTTTGGAGCGGCCTGTCAGCTGTTAGCAGGGGGCCCCGAATACCCAATTCAGGGGCTTGTACCAGCAAAAGCCCGAAAACCGAAGTGATGAGGCATGTCAGGTTGAACGCCCATTTGCGACCAATGACATCTACCGCGAGACCAAAACTGAGCGCACCAAAAGCCAGGCCGGCGTTTGCAATGGAGAATATATTTCCCTGCTCTGGAGGAGGAACGTTCATCTTGGTTACATGTCAGCTCTGTTGGAGTAGAAGCTCAAGATGCGCACTTCTTGGTAGATTGCCGTAACAATCAATCCAACTCCTTGCGACCATGCGAGGTCCAAAAAGTAGCCAAAGCCACACAGAAACCAGATGCATATCTGGTACCTGCCCATGCCAAAGTTGTCAATTTCAACATTGATCAGTGCGGCCTTCTTTTCGAAAACGTTGAGTGGGTTCGCAGCAGTGCCCTTGAGGATCGCGGCAAAGGATAGATTTGTTTGATCGACACGTTCGACATCGTTGACAATAGGAATTTCGATTCCAGGGTGATCTTTTATAGCATGGGGTTTGTCGTCGTCGCTAGAACTTCCCTTTGTGCGCTCAGGAAGTGATGTTTCTACCGGGATTTCGTCGTCGCCACCCAGGGACTTTTCAACTGGGATCTTTTCGTCGACGACAAGAGATTCTTGCTTGCCTTCAGAAGAATTCACACCCATTGTAGCTGGGGCGTGGAAGCTGACGATTCAAGATATGTCCTCGTAGGATTGCGTGTGGACCGGGTGTGTGCGGGGCCTCTCGTGGTTTTGACAAGGCTGGAGATCCGCACCGTGGGAGGAGGTATTATATGGGCGGGGAAGCCAGTCTCCTCTGCGCCACGCCCGAACTACTGGTGAAAAAGGATCTAAGCGACGGATACTAGGATCTTGCTCGTTGGACTAACCCTCGTCGATGCAACGGAATTGGGCTCCAAGACGGCAGACTGTTAGCGAAGCAGTGCTCATTGGTTGCGAGCTTATCGAGCCGGCATACTGTATGACATGTTTGAGCAGCAGCACTAGTCCTGGTGCGTATGTTGTAGCTCTTCTCTCGGGCTCTCCGTGTCGCAAAAAACTCTGTTGTAGCTAATCAGATGCCCTGGCGGCTGACGGAGAATGTGAGCTTCACTAGGCTCCCCCTACCGTTCCCAGAATCGACGCAACAAAGGATTGAGGCGCGCCCAGGCCCGCCATGCCCGCCCGAGGCTCAGAGTTGCGCAATGCGTGCAGTGGCACCGTTATTTCGTAGCACGCTTCTTGCCGCCGCGTTCTCCACAGTGAGTGCGAGTTGTTAACATGGGCCTAGCGTTCCCTTGCGAACCCACAATTGCCGTGCCAATGTCGAGATGTTGCAGTGAGCCGTGGCCCGGCCCCGCCAGGTTTGTGAGATTCGCCGTTCACCATCAGGCAGTGGCCATGCCCTTTTCGGATTAGTGGCAAGTCATGCACGTCATCCTGAGGCGCTCGATTTGCCCGCCTGCCGCCTCGGCCCTCTCGCCAACAAACATGCCGCTATCACTATGGACACTGATGCACATCGCTTCTCGCAGACGCACGTAACCAAGCTTCCATTCCAACGTAGAACATGCAGAACAAGGCCACTTCCAACGGGCTGACATAGCGACTAGCAGTCTTTTCGAAGCGTCCACCCCGCCCCCATCAAGCAAAAGCAAAAAAGTCGCCAAAAAGACAAAAAAAACATACAGCAGCTGGGATTCGCCAGTGGTCACCCACCTGACTACTAATCAGCCGGTCTCCAGCTTAAATATTGCCGAGCGAACGAGAGACATTGAATTCTGGAGCCTATGGCCGTATGTATCAGGAGAGGGCGTTATTTGACTTCTGACGGGCGCGCCTTCCTCAAAGAACTAATGGAGATGGTGTTTTGGGAAGGAGCACCCAACACCAGGATGATGCGCACCCAGGAGGTCGCTGTTTCTCATTAGTTCAACTACAACCACTGCTGCAAATAACATGGCTGCTTTGGAGAAGATATTTTCAACGAAAAATATACGCACGAAAAGAATCTCGTTTCGCACTCTAATATGGTGCGTTGCAGTGCTGCTTCGCATTTTTGGGTGGGTGCACAGCCAAAGTTATCAAGTTCTATCACCTTGGGACACCTGCATAGAAGAACAACGCGACAACGCAACAAAGATATTTTTTCCATTTCAAAAACACGTAAGTTGTTTCTCTCTATGGCGTGCCACTAGCACGTGGATTCGAAATACGATATCTTGTTGTTGTTCTAGTCATAGGAATCTAAGCACGCGCATGATAGGTGGGGACACCAAATACGAGCTCCTTTGTATGCAATCGTCCAACCCTCACTTACCAGCTTCCGGTAGTGGTCTTGGCTGGTTTACTTTCGCGACTTATTGTTGGTGCAGGCGAGCTGTAAAGAAGTAAGAGAAGATGTGCTGGATGTTGGATTGCAGGATGTTGGATTGCAGCTCCGGTACGGAGCAGCTGTATATTCTATCAAGCTAGTCTCAATTGGGTAGTATGTTGCCCCACTATGCGGTGCCTTCGCAAACACATACAGACCGCACTTTCTCTCACAAGCGGCACTTTGGGTCCTTCAGGTGCTAATCTCGGCCCTGCGGAGTGCTGCAATCTCGATAGATTATGCAAACGACATGTTGAGAATGAAGATTCCTATTTGCCGTCCTGTCAAGCCATCCACACCCAGGGAGACTCAGCGCTACCATCTCCAAAGCCTATGCATACATCTCTACCTGCTTCTCGCTCCACTCCCAGAAAGGGCCTGCCTTGCCTTCGGTCACAAAGTCCTTCCGGATCTCTGCGATTCTCCCCCAGGGGATGACCCACTCTCCCTCCTTGGGGTTCCTAGCTTCAGGTGCCAGTCCTGCGAAAAGCTCCGTGTAGGCGCCATACACCGGTGCATGTTGGAACGGCCTGGACATGACATTTAACAAGGACCCTGCATGTCGCCCCAAATCTGATTTAAGGAGGCCTGGATGAAGTGCCTGTATCCTATCAGCTCAAAAAACCCCATGCCACCACATGGACTAAAACTTACCGTGCTAATCACCCCCTCTCCCTTATATCGTCTTTGGTATTCAATCGCATGTAATACGTTGCCTCCTTTACTGATGCGGTATTTTGTTGTTGCCTCCTGGTCCTTGTGGAAATGTAGGTTGTCCAAATCAACTCCACCCCGCGGTGCAACCACCTCCGCTGCGCTCGAGGACACCCAAATCACTCTCACACTCCCAGCCGGACTTGATATGGCGGTTCTCACGAGAATCGGAGTAAGAAGCTTCGTGAATAAGAAAGGCGCTACACAATTTGTGCCCAGTTGCAATTCATATCCTTGCTCTGTCTTGCTGCCCTGAGGGGGCATCATGACGCCCGCATTATTGAAAAGCACATCTAGTCTGATTTCTTTGCTTAGAAACTCCTCAGCAGAAGACTTGATTCCTCGTAAATCATTCAGGTCTAGCTGAAGGAAATGCAGCTGACCAGTTGAAGTTGGGTGGCTCTCCTTGATCCAAGCTATCGCGGCGTTGGCTTTTTCTGCTGAACGCGCCGCAACGTAAACCGTGCCGTTACGGCTATACAAGAGTCGTGAAAGCTCTTTGCCCACGCCTGCTGAGGCACCAGTGACGATGTAAACTTTTGATATGAGGTCGGGGACTGATGCCTCTGTAAATTTTGGCGCGGGAGGAAAAGCTTGACAAATTTGGTTAGGCATTTTGGTTTCGATATATCTGGAGGCTCTGGTGAGCTGGTCTTTCGAGGGAACTGGAACAACTGTTCAACATGCCGATATCTTGTTGAATATTGCTGAGCGGAAATCGAAAGTATCAATACGAATAGCGTGAATTCTATTCAAGAGATTGGACCAAGTTCGTGTGGTGGCTAAAGTGTTTGGATCAGGTTTGCAACGGAAGGAGGTCTTGTGGGGCTTATTGTAAGCTGAGTTTCAACACTGTATAGTGCGTTTATTCATCCTCGACCTCTTTATAAAACCTCAAGGAGCCATTCTCTATCAACTTTCGGACGAGTCGTTTTTTTCGGGGTTAGAGAAGCCACTGCCCGGACCAAACTACGCGGAGCCACGTCTCTGTGTTTGGCTGTTGAACAGTCGCATGCCGGCTTTAACAACGGACGACCGAAACAAAGTTTTCTTACAACTCGGATATAAGAGCTGATCTTAATAGCGGATTTAACAGGCGATCTTAATAGAGTTTATTGTCGACCTGGTTGATCTTTTCCCTGTTAGCATCAACCTGGCAGACCGGTCACGTGATATATTTTGCTCGACTTGTCGCCGTGATTCAGCATCTTGGTTACTAGCGAAACATAGATTTAATAGCCTGCGAGAGCTCAGCCATCGTTACTTTATCAACACAATAGTTTTCTATCAAGAAGTGGTGCAGGCTGTCTTGTCGCACCTGTTCCCTGCAGAAACGAATCTTCTTATAGCCAGATTTATCCTTGCCAGCTCTATGTTTTTGAAAGTGGCCTCTTCAGTATTCGCTCGTGACGTGTGAAAAATTACAGCGTGGGAAGTGATTTTGTCCTGGCTAAGTAACCTGGTATTGATTCCAAGTTTGCTATCATTGCCAGTCGCAAAAGACGTATTGTTTTATATGGGGGTGTAATGGGCGCCTACGCATTTCTTATCTCGCACCAGTATCCTAAGCCGGCCCGTCCAACTTGTACTCTTTAATCAGCCTCTCGCTCGCCATCTGCCCTATCAGATAAGCAGTAGCCTGCGTATGATTGTTTGTCGAAACTGGCGCGACACTCATGTCGACTACTCTCAGGCCTTTGACACCCCGCACCCTAAAAGTCTTATCCACCACCGCCTCTTTGTCGTCCTTTCGTCCCATCTTGCACGTGCCAGCCGCATGCCACACGGTACTTGCATTGTCTTTGGCCAATGCATCGATATTCTCGTCAGAGAGCGATTCTGGGCCGTGAATATTGCGCACAATGTACGGCGCAATAGCAGTCGAGGTGGTTATTTTCGTCCACGTGTTGCGCACCGCCTCTCGGAAGACGCGCACGTCGTATGGGTGGGTGAGGTAGTTTAGCTTAATGACAGGGTCATCGGCTGGGTTCTTGGACCGCAAAGTCACACTGCCTCTAGACTGCGGGTTCATGAGAAAAGCGATAAACGTCGCGTACGTGTTGCCCTCTGCGATCTGGGTTCCTGGCGGCCAAAGGAGCGAGTTTCCAATCATCTCATACGCAGGCACTTCATCCTTTGAGAGATATTGTCGAATGTCCTTGGGTAGAGCTTTGTATTCCTCAAATGATTCCAGTCCTGGAAGCTTGAGAAACCCGCCCCACAAGGAAGAGTTGTGCAGCATCAAGGCACCAGATTGGTCTTTGTACCAGGCCTTTTCTGCTTCTGCCATAATCTCTGCATTACTTTCAAACGCGTACTTGTTGTTGACGCGACCATCCACTTCGACGCTCAAAAAGGTCAAGACGTGATCGTGGAGGTTCTTGCCCACGCCAGGTAAGTCGACCTTGACGTCGATTCCGAGTGCTTCGAGTTCAGACTTGGGCCCAATACCGTTCATGAGGAGGATTTTGGGGCTGTCGATTGCGCCGGCGCAAATGACGACTTCGTACTTAGTGGTTGCTGCTGCGAATCAGCGTTTTGGTGCCCCATCATGCCGAGTCTGAGCTGAAAGGAAAAAAACCCCCAAACATACCTTTCCGCCCATCCTCGGTCACAACCCCGACGATCCTATTGCCTTCCCATACCAACTCAGTAACCCTTGCGTCCGTCCAAATGTCCAGATTCTGAGGCGCTCCAGTCAAATGTGCAGTTGCACTCGTGCACCTCCCTTGTTTGTCATAGCTAGACGGGAAAAGACTGAATCCCACGGGATCTCCAGAGTTCGGATCCAGATTGATTTTTTCGCCCGCCTTCATGAGCGCCTCCATCTGTGGCTGAACGCCCATTTCCAAAACAGGCGGCAACTCCACTCGCAACAGGCCATGCGTGCCATGAATACCGGTCGAAGGATCCGCAAGGTGACTATATGTCTTTGAAGCTGAGAAATTGTAGTTTTCAATCTTCTCAAAACACTTCTTTACATTCTCCCATTTCCAGGATGCTCGGTCGTCTTCGTCGTCTTCTTCGCTACCAACAAGCTCGCCCCATCGCTCATAGTCGCCCTTGCTGCCCCACAAGTAGACTCCAAAATTCGCTATACTGCTGCCACCAAGGCCCTTTCCTCGCGTGTATGCAATCTGCCTTCCACCCAGCTTTTCTTCGGGCTCGGATACATACGGATAGGTGAGATCGGGGCGTGCCACTGGGATATGGTAACGATGGTATGGGGCATTTAGGTAAAGGCCGCTGGGAGCGCTGCCGGCTTCAAGGAGGAGAACCTTAGGTGAAGAATGGGTGTGAGCGAGTCGCTCGGCTAGAAGAGGTCCTGACGTTCCGGCTATGACGAAGTAATGTTAGTAATAGAAACCACTGTTAAACAGTAACACAAGAAGAAACACATGAAGCGACATACCGCCGACAATGATGAAATCGTACGACGAAGTCATCCTTGCAGGAATATTATGTTCTTCTAGCGTGGTACACACGAGGTCCGCTCGTCGTCAAGTTGTGGACTTGAAGCATGTGGACCAGGCACCGCGCGATGGGACCAGGGTTTATATCTTTGACTCTCCGTCATCCCAAGTACCCCGTTTTTCAGCTGAGCTAAGAACGAGCCGCCTATCCGTACTTTCTGACGCCAGCTTGTATCCCCCAAACTCTCCAAACATGTGGAGCCATCTCACACCTATGCGACCGACAGGCCCGGTACAGCTCTTGCAATCGTTGTTTACCCACCCGTCGCACGGCTTACTGTGCCCTCTTGAACCTCATTTTATTCGTCTTGAGGATTTGGAAGCTTTCTCGCCAGTACTACGGTATGCCAATGATCTAACCGCATGTAGAGATTGCTCAGCATACTTAATATGCCCTCGCATTAGCGGTGAGCTACTAAGATGCTGATGCTTGCTGTATAAGCGACTGTCCGGTTGCACACAGAGCGCGGCCCACCTGAAAGGGTCGCGGCTTGCCCCTCGGGTACTGTCTTCGGTGCGGGGTCCACGAAGAGGAAATAGATGGTTTGTGATAAGAAGAGCCTCGCGCATGGCTTTAGACTGTGCCTGTAAACGTGGTGTTACATGCAGCCGTGGCGTGAACGATGATGGTGATGATGATGACGATGATGGAGAGCGCTAAATGATTACTCGACAGTTGATTCCAAATTCTCAAAATCTCTCTGATCAATTTTTTTTCATTGTGTTTGTGAACCAGCGAGTGCAGCTAGTCTACCCCGCAAGTAACTCTATCATGGTAGATCTTCCGACGACGTTCCCTTCCCCACCTTTTCTTCGCACTATCATAAGATAGGAAATGGGGCTTTTTTTTGGTAGAACACCTACTTGCAAAATTCCAGGGTTCATACTTGCAGCGAGTCAACAACTGCTTGCATGCCCCTGCATGCTACAGAGCCTTTGTCAGCGGTATGCCGTGATGATGCCGTCCGAATCCCGAGAAATCGGCGAGTGCTGGTATTGCCATGGCGGATAAGAGCTCATGGGAGCTGCATCGGTTCGCCACTGGGCTGGTATATATGCTCGGACATGACACCCGCAGCCATGATAGCTCCTTGTTCCTCTGCATTCGGAAGGCCAGGCTGGAATGGAGATGTTGTGCATTTCTGTATCCGCTCTTTTGAATCCCACCGCGGCTATGTGCAAAAAGCCTATTGGCGCACTCTCAAGTTACTTCTTTCTCGGGTGATCGGCACGGTAATGGGTACTCTTCGCTCGACAGCCGAGTGACTTCGTTCTGCGTAATCATGGTTGACATTAAACTCGCAGGTATGCTGTTCCTCATCCAGTCTGGTTTTCTGATTGCCTTCTTCCCTTCGGGCGTTGCGCGGGGACTTTCACACACTCCTTCACCCGATGGGCCTTGTTCCAAGTCACCTTCTCTGACTTGACCCCGCCCACTGCCGCCGTTTGGGTGGCGCCCGTTGGTAGCCAGGCTGCGGTGGTGGAGAGGGGAAAAATTTGCAAATTTACGCGCTATCAGTGCACGAAGGTCCGGTAGCGAGGCTGCGACTATTGCAAATGAGATTTGGATGGAGATGAGCATATTAACGGCAGTGCCGAAATATTGCATATTGCTTTCCCGGCGCCGGATGAACGGAATTTGGAGAAGAGCCACTACACATACGATGAAGCCTAGGCCAAAGATGACGACAAGGCCAAGTCTTTGGCGAATGCTCAGCTTCGAGAGCTTCCACACGTATACGATTGGGAGTGCAAATATCATGCTGTCCATAACGCTGTCACCGATAGCTGCCGAATAACTATAGACGGCGGAACTGAAACACTGCGATCCAGTGAAATCGAGCCAGTGAACAGTCCAGAGTTTGCCAATGTTCTCGCAGTACACTATGAGCACAGTGAGGACTTCAACAAAATGCGCAAGCGTTGCCACCAGGAGAATGTAGCAGCACTTTCTGAGCGATGACATCCCGGCAGGGAAGATGCGTAGGTAGTACGCCAGGAAGGAAAGACGAGTAAAAGTAACAGCGAAGAGGTAAGCAATGCGCCTTTCGAATATATGCTAGCGGCTGTCAGTATAGTCCTTCGAATCTAGCGTGAGTCATACCTGGTAGTATGGCACCTCCGATGTCCGATCAGGCCTACAAGGACGGTTAGAATGACATTTGGTATAGCATTTATGCTAGAATTCACATGCCCTTTTCTGTCATAGCCCCAGTCATCTTTTGCACTCATGCAGGATATGACAGTGCGTGCAAAAGCCGAAGCCTGCTTTGCTGTTAACATGGACCAAACCGACCGGACAGCTTGCTAGCGCAACACCATACATACCGAGCCTAGCAGTATCAAAATATCATCAGGCGCAAGTTTTCTCTTGATCGCTAATCTGGAGTAGACTCGGAAGCCCACGGTGCTGAATGCTATGACCACTAGAGGTATTTCCACGGCCAAGGCTGTTTTGAAGCCTTTTGTTGCATCTCCAGTATTGATGTTCACAATCGGCTTCTCGGATGTCTTGTTGAATCCTGTCTCTGCAAATGCAGGTGACATACTTCCAGTGACTGGGGCGTCGAAAAGTGAAACGAATGTCAGATTAGTCGACGTAGCCTGGCACCAAGTGTGCAGAAGAAACACATCACCATTGAGAGAATACGATGATGAAGAGAGAAACAGCGCTCACCAGGATATGCTGATGCTGATTATCATGTCGATTCGATACTGCCAAGCCACGGGCTGCTCTGCACCCGCTGACATGCAATTGTTGGCTTACTGAGCGCTGAGCGTAACCCGCGCCACCAATAAGAATTGCATCTCGCTACGACACCGATGCGGAATCTTGGCGACGATGCTGACAGATTTCCCTCTACTGCCCATGGGCGCTGGGCAAAGTAAGAAAATAACAGGACTCAGAAGAGAGCACGAAGGGATCCAATAAGGAAGTGGTTTTTATTTTTGCGCTTGGGGAGCCCAGTCATCTTGTGGCTTGGCCAATATTGACTTTGAAGATGATAATGTGGGGCCCGCTTCCCCCGACACATGTGGTAATGTAGTTTAAAAGACGCCCTCTATTTTGTCTCTTTGGTCGAAATCGTAGGCATTCCCAAACGATCGGTTCATGTAGTTCTTGAGCAGGTGTTCGGCGGCAATAAATTTCGCGGCAACATCTAGACCCGTTTTCGCCGGCGAGAGCCGTTCGGCAAGCTCTTCGGCAAATTCGACTTCCATAGCATTACGGTACCATGGCGCGAAGTGTACTATAAAGCGTTAGATTGCGCCATGTCTTGTGTAAGCAGGAAAGTTACTCATTGCGAGCATTACTCTCGGCTCTGAAGTAAGATTGGGCTTTCCTCCGTGCCACAGTCGCAGATCACGAATGATGATGCTGCCTTTGTTGACGACTGGCTGTGAGGGCGGCCTAATCTCGCCACGGGCGTCAAGCAGATGCTTCTTGATCCTACCGCTGGCGCGGTCGCCATGTTCGCCTTCTTGGTCAGCAATGGTGGTATTATTGTGTGTGCCAAGCCAGACCTCGGTTGACCCATTTTCGGGGGTCATAGTCACAAGAGGAACGTTGACCACAAGCGCAAATGGAATAGAGGGGTGGTCAAAGTCGGCGTCATTATGGGTTGGCTGTGACACAGGTGGCGATGCTTCAGTAGGCGGCAGAGCTGTATTCCCGGACACGAAACGCAAAGAAGGTTTTGGTCCAAGCGCAGTCGATGTGACTTGGATGACGATTGGGTCTGCAGTCTGCAATCAGTGCACATTCGGGAAGCAATGCACGCGTCAAGATAAAAGACTTACTGGTGTAGATGTCACTACTGAACCAGTCGGCCGTCATGGGTGGATCCTGCTGAATATTGCCTTTGTTGTAGTTGAAAGGGCTATCCTTCCTCGCCTGCAGCTGGTATGCATCCTGGACCATTTTCTGATTCAAACGATCCAGGACGGCATGCTCAACCATGTCTTCCAAAACAACAAGGCCATCGCGGGCAAGGGCTCGAATGGCAATTTCGAGATTGCGCTGGCCAAGAAGGCCACTCCCGAGCTCAGATGCTGAGGGTACAATGGAGATTGGAGTCGAGGAAAGGGGTCGAGTCATTGTAACAGGCATGGTGAATGATGACGTAGCAGTTGTAGCAGAGTTGAAACAGGCACGGCAGCCTGGTCGAGCGTTGATTTGGCCGTGTAACTGCTACAACAAGCATTCGACTTTATACACTCTGGCCCGTTTCGGCACACGTTTGCGATGGTGGTAGGATGGCGGAATGTACGTAAAAGGCCTAGGGAGGCGCTAGGCCTGTTGGAGCACTGCAGCCGGGTGGTGGAGAGGCTGGCGCCGCCTAGGGAGAGGCCCAATGCGGGGTTGGTCCGATTTGAGGTCGGAAGAGCAGCATCGTAGCCAAGGTCCATGGCGAACGACGTCGGAATGGGTTGGCCGGAATGGATTGGAGAATGGCGTCGAGCCGGGTGGCCTCGACGAGGCAATGGTTCCGCTTGTACGTGTGCGTGTACAGGTTGCAGAGATATCATCAGGGCGTGTGCGGCAGCTGTTGAAGGGGGCCGTTGCACAGGCAGGGAGAATTTATCGACTGATTAATTCATTAATAATGGATTGATTGACTGGCTGGTTGCTTCTGCCGTTGGCGACAAAAGGCGCCATGACGGGCTGGGAGGACAGCCAGGCCCAGGGCGATGGCGGCTACAAGCCACCGACTAGTCAGGGGACACACACGGTGTATGTCTGTCTGTGTATGTGTGTAAAGCTTAGCCCGTTCTGTTATGCACTGTCCATATGTACATAGTGTAGTGCACTTTGCGGTGCGGATTGTGGATGCGGGACGAGCGGGCGCATGTGACGATGCGTGTCGCGCATTGCGGCGGGCATTCGGGGCCGGGCAGGGGGTTGGGTGAGGCCCTGGTGCAGGCCATACCATTGCACAGTGTACACGCGGCGCGCGAGGGTGATGATACGGTCCAGTCGCACGACATGGTGTTGGGGCTGGGCAGGTGGCCCGATGACCAGGAGAGTGCGAGCACAGCAGCAGCAGCAGCAGCAGAAAGGCGGGCAGGGAGGGAGAGGCACCAGCACCAGCAAGCCAGGGCCACCACCACCACCACCACAACGCCTCCGCACTGTTTCAACGCCGCACCGCCCACTTGCCAACAACTCCCACGCCCTTTGCGCCTCTCGACGGCCTCGGTACACGCCACACTTGTCGCGTCGTCTTTTTCTTTCTGCACGCATACAATTGCACCCCCTAGCCCCCCATACCGTCCGCTGTCGGCACCGCTCGCCTTGGACGCTTGCTGCTGCTGCTCGCCCGCCCGCCCACCGCAGCAGCCTACACCACTCCCCCGGCCATCGACTCGTGGCAGCGCCCTTGCTCTTGCACCCATACGACAGGCTGCATCATCGCAAACCAATTGCGGCCCCGTACCTCGAGGCCAACACAGCAGCTCGAGAAGTCGCAACTGTTCCACGGCGCACATCCATCACGCGACCCATCCAGCCAACGTCATACTTGCCGCCGCCGCCATGCCGTCACAGCGCCGCATGAGGTTGTCCGTGATCCTCGTAGTCGTGACAATCGTCGTGCTCTTCTACATGTCAAGAGGAGCCAGCCAGACGCAATCATCCGACTTCTACACAAAGACGCAACAAGCCCTGCAGGAGAAGGAATACGCAGAAGCCGCAAAGGTGCGCGACGCAGACAATGTTGGCACGCGATTGAAAGCCGCCGAGGAGCAGGCCAAGAAGAAGGCCGAGGAGAAATACAAAGACGTCAAGGCCGGAGTCGAGGGCCCAGACAAAAAGGGCGTAGCCGGCCGGGTCAAGGTGGATGGCGAGAGGGTGCCTGGTGTTGCTCAGCAAGGCGGCCGACCCCGCGACCAAGCCGCCATGAAGGACCACGAGACGCCCGAGGACCACGAGGTCGAGATGGAGCTCAACGCAATTCTGAAGAAAAGCCCCAGTACGTCACAACCCCGTCGAGCCGTGCGCACGAGTCCTAACCGTCACAGTCATCATCTTTTCCAAGTCGTACTGTCCTCATTCGAAGAAGGCCAAGCACATCCTGCTTGAAAAGTACAAGATTGTGCCCGAGCCCTATGTGGTCGAGCTGGACCAAAGCCCCATGGGCGCCCAACTGCAAGCATTCCTACACAAATCCACCGGCCGAAGAACCGTTCCCAACATCCTCCTCATGGGCAAGAGCATTGGAGGCGGCGACGAAATGGTGGAGCTTGACGAGACCGACACCCTCATAGACAAGGTCAAGGAGATGGGCGGCAGCCGCATCACCCAAGCCGAGCATCGCGGCGCCCGCCCAGAGGTGCGACGCCGACGGGCCAAAGCGTAGAAATCCCCAGCTTCCTCTTTCTTTCTGCAGCCAGCCTATTTCATTGTGTATATTTATCACTTGGGTATGTTTTTTGGGACGCCTCTCGGGAACGCCATCTTGTAAGAGGCATATCGGAATGCATATGGGACGTTATTTTGTATACCCTGGGCATCTAGCTTGGCGCGATGCGGATCAGGCCTCGAGGGGTCTGTGTACCGCAGTGGATATACCCTCTATAATATCATTTTCCTTGGCACTCTTTTCGCTCCATCATGCAGGCTGTTGTTGTACTTGCAAGGTCCTTGACTCGGCTCAATGGCATTTGGTTTTCTCTTCCGGCATAGCAGGACACTCTCTTTCACCGTCGGGATTGCCATGAGGGGAGAATCTGTTTGGAATGGGGCAGGCGCCTTCACTCACTTCACCGCGCCTGCCTAGCGCCAGGACAGCAAAACCCAACATGGCTGACCGTCTCACCTTTTCATAGCAACATCCCATTTCCAAATCTATACGCATTGAGGCCGTAAGTTCTCTTAGGGTACCTGTCACAGCACGCCACTGACAAGCATCAGATCTTTCCGCAATGTGTCTGTACTGGAAGAAGATGCATACGTGCGGCCACGCCTCTGACCGTCCGTACATCGAAATGTGTCGTCCAGGCTTCCTCTCCAACACAGTGTGCCTCGACATCAAGGAAGACGACACATACCGTCCTTCTCACTTCCCTTGCTATCCCTGCATCAAGCTCGAGGCACGCGCCGAGGTCGAGGAACAAGCCCGCGTGGAACAAGACGCCATCACCAAAGCCTACCAAGCTCGCGAGTGCGCTGTCAAGGAGAAACAGGCTGCCGAACTGAGGGCCAAGGAAGAGCGCGTCCGACGCGAGGCTCGCGAGAAGGCAGCCCGAGAGCGAGAGGCGGAGCAGCGAGCCAAGCGGGAAAAAGAAGAAGAGGAGTCGAGGATCAAGAAAGAGGGTGGTGCATGGATTGAGACTTCGGGCAGCAGAAAGCTCAAAGCCAGGAAGACTGCTAGGGGCAGCTTCGGCACTAGCAGTCCTACGAGACCATTGACCCTCTTGTCTGTCACCAAGATGGCCACGGGACCCAAGAACATCAAGGAAAACAGCATTTTCAACAGCGAAGGTGGCGACAAGATGAGTCCCAGGAAGACTGAGATGGATGGCGGCGGTAGAGCGGGTATCTGGGGTCCCAAGAAGATCTTGACGAGGCAGGAGAATGGCTTTGGAACTGACTCTACTACGAAGAAGTGAGGGTTGCATGAAGCTTTCTCGGGATAGGTTGATCGAGTCTGTGTGAAGCATGACCGCTGATTCATCCAAAGGTGGCTGGAGAGGTAGACAGACGGAGACGAAATGGTGTAATCGAGACGAATATGCATACGCTTTCTTAGCCCAACGGCCATGATGATGGAACTGGTTATTTTCAAATGTGAGTATACAGTCATGTCACGAAGTATGGTTTTTGTCTAACCAGTCATCTGTCTTGAGGTTAGTAATGTGATGGCTATCACGATCCGCCTGAATGAGCCTACAAACTTGAAAGTGATACTCGACATGTTCGAGGCCAAGTGCAGATGATTGAGCTTTCATCTTCACCGTTCATGTCTCACTGACAATGGGCCGTGCTGTTTGCCTCGAGGTGGCCAAAAACCTTTGCACTTGGCCACGGATTTGCTCTTCACAAACAAAATTCCACTTTGCAATCGGCGCTGCGACTCGCAATCTTTCTTCTTTACCAGGTACCCGGACTGCTATCCTCGATTCGGAGCACTGCTAATGGATCCAAGACAAGCACCTACTCGCACCTTTACCACCATGGGCAAGGCAGCACCGATTTCGGGCATCAACCCCGATGCGGCGCCGAAAGCGGAAATCGCGTCTCTGGCGACTTCGATGACGGCAGCGGCTTTCCTGGGCATTGCCTGGTACCTCTGCATCGAGCTCAACGTACGTCTCTTGGTCAAGGTAACCCAGCCAAGTCTTTACTTTTGGGCGTGCTTGCTTTGCAGCTGGGGCATTTTCGTCCACTGCATTTCCATTCTACTCTCCAACTTCCACCTCTGGACGTCGTACTGGTCCATTGTGGTCATCCACGTGTCGTGGCTCACCTATGTCATCTTCCAGTCGCTGGTGCTCTACTCGCGCCTGAGCCTCGTGCTCTTCAAGGCGCGAGTGGGAAGATATGTCCTCGGTATGATCCTTGTCAACGCCGTCGTCTTCGGTCTGTCCACGGTCGTGTTTGGACTGGTAGCTGCAAGTATCACCCCGCCACTGGAAGAAAAGTGAAATGCTAACTGATGCAGCGGCACTCGAGGTACGCAATGGGACTGACGCATGCCTACTTGATCTGGGACAGGGTCCAGCTTGCTGCTTTTGTTGTGCAAGAAACACTCATCGGGATACTCTACATCCGCGAGACGTCAAGGCACCTCAAGAGCATGGTTGTTCTTGGCTCCGACCACGACACGACGCGCTGGAACCTCCGATACCTGATTGCAGTCAACATCTTCATCATTGCGCTCGACTGCAGCATCATGGGTCTGTGCTACAGCGGATTCTTCTTCCTGCAGGGTTTCTACAAAGCTGCCGTCTATGCCGTGAAGCTTCGCACCGAATTCGCAATTCTCAACCAGCTTCGTGCGTCGCTGCCGGGCGCGCCGAGGTACGGGTCGGACAATGTTGTGGGACAGCATGTTCAAGTCGAGGCCAAGAGGCAGTCGAGGCCACTTCCCCTTGTCAGGCGACAGCACAGCCAGGACGATGGGGCCATGGGAATTTTGGATATATTGAACGAGGGTCGAGAAATGCAGGTTGTCGAGGACGCGGTCGAGGCTCCGAGGAAGAGGGATAGCGCCAGCAAGAAGGCGCCAGCAGACGCCTGATGGCTGTGAGGGAGGGCAATTGGATCTGGGGGTTAGGATAAGGATATGGGGTAGAGACATGTATGGGAAGAAAGGCGTGGGAGGTCTAGACAAGATGACAAGAGTCTCGCTTGGAAGATCAAAGTCAGTGCTTGGGGCCTTTTCCTTGGACATGTCCAGCCTTGTCAAGACCATGGGTAGATCAGACTCGACCATAACGACGCTATCGTGGCAGTTCTGCTGTGGCCTGGGATGTGTGCTGATATGTCTTGATTTAGTGATGCATGTGGTGCTGTCGCATGTGGGGTTAGGCGTTGGCGATGGTGCACGGTGGTAGTTTTTGAGTTTGGGTGACATGCGAGTCAGGGGAGCGGGTAGGGGCCTATGCCTACATAGCCTACATACTAACAGAGTCGGCTACGTCATGTCGAGATGGTGACTGTAAGTGAGAAAGCATGATGCATGGTGGGGGAGAACAGGATGCTTGTTCACTTGCATAGATGCGACTGACAGAACAGCCCAAGGGCTCGGTTAACGGTCGAATGGCTGCAAGGCCACTGCAAGAGGCGGGCCGGTGCACCATGTCGGGCAGCTGTAGGTATGTATGCACAGCATCATCCTTGGAGTCGCGACATGACAGCCGCAACACTCACAACAAACCTGGAAGACGGCCATTTTTTTTTCGTCCGTCTACTCTGAGTGACGTGTGTGTCTTCGGATGGTGCGGAAGAAAGGGGACGATGGGGGGGTCAAGAAAAAACAACGCGGTCTAGACAGACGGGCGCAAACGGCTGCAAGTGCAGGCGTGGTATCAGGCGCCAAGGCGCGAGGGCACGGCTGAGGCCATATTTAGGCCCAAGGAATAAGGTACACGTGGGAGTAGATTGGACAGCAGCAGCAAGCTGGCGGCGTGCTGGCGTTGCTGGGTGAACCGGGGGGCGGCCGCCAGGTAGCAGCAGCAGATACAAGTCCATCGACACATGCAACTCGCGCCGCACGACTACGTCTCCAGGCCACGCAACCCACTTTTACTGCCACGACAGCAGCGAGACACGAACCACTCTGCACGCCTCGACGGGCTAGAAGCCGGCCTTTTTCTCCCGCCAGAGTTGGCGCAGGCGCATATGTACACGCCCTCACCGGCGTTGCAGCGCGCGCGGCAGTAGCTTCCCCCAACCCCCCCGGAACACGCGCCCCCAGCCACCGACCGTGGCCCCCCCCCCCCCCAACCTCACGCATATTCCAACTTTACCGCTCTCTTTTCTTTGCCCGGCCTCCCTGACTCTCTCGCTCCCTCCTCCTGCACCCTTACATACCTCGCACCACCGTCTCGCACTCCTGCTCCCGCCGTCTTTGTTGCCCGGGAGAGACACTGACTTTCTTTTAAGTTTGTTGCTGCGTCGACCACAGAGCATCGCCCAGTCCCCGCGCCGCTGCACCACCACACGCTAGCCAGCAGACCGACCCCGCCCCGCAGCAGTGCACCCATACACCGCCCCCGACGACAAGTCACAGCGAGCATACTACCCGTCGCCGTGCAGCCTGTCGCTCTTCTTCTTATTTCTGCAATCGCTTCCCCCCCAATCCCCCCCAATCCAATCGCGGCCTCTTTTGCCGACCGTTTGGAAATAGTCGATCGCCATCATGCGCCTGTTCAGCGCCCCTCCGGCCATGCTCGCCCTGGTCGCATTCGCATATCTGCCCGCCGCCCTCGCAACGCCATATCCGCCCGCCCATTTCGACGACCTGGAGAATTACCACAATTCGTCGCAGCAGATTGAGAAGCGCGCCTGCGACGGCGTTCCCTGTGGCTATGGCGGCTGGCTTTGCTGTCCTTCGGGCTCGACGTGCTACACCGATTCGCAGAACCAGGCGCAATGCGCTTCTGGCGGCGGTGCCTCGCAGGGATCCGGAGGATACTGGCAATACCGCACGACAACCTACGTTGAGACGGTCGGACTCCTGACCAAGACCCAAGTCTACAGCACCTATGTCCCCGCCACGGCCACGCAGACTTGCAAAGACTCGCAAAACCCATGCGGCTCCGTCTGCTGCGACTCTGGCTTCTACTGCCTCACGGCAGGCCAATGTGCTCTGATTGCCGGCGGAAGCTCTGGAGGTATTACACCCTCCGCTCCTTTACGACCCACTGGCTCAGGCGTTGTCATAGTCACCTACACGGGCACCCCGACCCAAACAGTGCCCTTTGAAACTCCAATTCCTACTGGCGCCGCCGGCAGCACCCTGGTCCCCACCGAGGAGAACAACAGCGGTCTCAGCGGAGGCGCCATTGCCGGCATTGTCATTGGTGTTATCCTGGGAGTCCTGCTTCTTCTGCTGCTCTGCCTCTTCTGCTGCGCCCGTGCTCTTTTCGACACCCTTCTCGCCATCTTCGGCATTGGCAAGAAGCGCAAGCACAGCCACGAGGAAACCTACATCGAGGAGCACCACCACGGCGGAGGTGCTGCCGGCGGACGCTGGTACGGCGCGGGTCGCCCTGCCCGTCCGTCGCGCGCGGGCTCAGAGAAGCACAGCGGTGCAAAGAAGGGTCTCGGCCTTGCCGCTGGCTTGGGCGGTCTCGCGCTTGCACTGGGCCTGAAGAGACATCAAGACCACAAAGTAGATGATAAGAGCACTACTGTTAGTGGAACGTCCTACATGTACAGTGACTACACGAGCACAAGTAAGTAACTATTTCTCTGCACCACAATTCAAGCAGAATGCTAACAATGACTCTAGGCAGTGCAAGCTCGTCAGATCGCCACACGCGCCGCACACGGCACTCGTCGAGACGATAGTCTGGCTATTTTGTTGAGACCCTCATCTCGCACAGACTGTTCAACAAGAACATTCCAATTGTACAAAGATTTATGTTTTTCTTTTCCTTCTTACCGTCTAGTTGGCCACTAGACATACTTTTATCAGCATGTTGGCGGCTTCTCTTGAAAAAAAAGGGGGTGAGCTCACCGGGCTTGCCTAGAGAGAGAGCTCCCAAGGTCGTTTGCTTCCAGGAGTATAGGCGTTTCAGCGTGCGAGCCTACTATGCCGCCATAGCGATGTGTATTTTTCTTTTCTTTTCATGTTCCTTTTACGCCACGGTGCACGGACGAGATTGACGCTGTACCGCTTAATGAAGTATGCGCATGCTTTGAGATGCTTAGGATACGAAATCACGCACATGGAGATGTATGTACATGGATGGAACGAAGTCAAGAGGCCCAAGAGGCGTAAATATGAAAGCAAATTTTTTTCGCGTTTTGCATTGGTTTGAGCTCGTCATGTATGCATGTGAATGCTGTATGACTCTTCTCGCCCTTGAACATTACTAGATTTGTGAAGAGTGCATTTGTAAGCTGCTCAATCACGAATTCTTCGCCATCATGCTTAGCTCCTGCCATTTTACCTTGAGGTGTGTCGGGGCAGCGGCGGCGCAAGCTTAGTTGAGCATTCTGATTCCATGATTCATGTAGGAAGGCGCAGGCTGATTGATCATTGCATGCGCCAAGATTAAAGTGGGATGGCGCTAAGGTGGAGCTCAAGCACCTTCGCCGTGACAGGTACTCACATAACAAACACCGCCACCAGCTGCGACCTGGAGCCCTTCCTCCTTCTCATTTTACTCGCATTCTACTCAACCCACATCCACAAACCAGTTGATCTTGTTTGTCGGCGCTTGACAACACTACAAACACACACACACACACACACACACACACACACACACACACACACACACCACCTCAGCTACCCCGCGATAGTCAAGGTGCCCCCCCCATTGCCACACTGGACAGCTGCTAGACTTCACATCAGTCGGCAAACTGGGGAAGAGGCAACAAGCCGGTGAGGACGCTCGTCCCAACAAGAAAGAAAAGGTTATGACAGTAAGTGCGCTTCCGCTCTCTTGGTCGCGTGTACACACTTGTCGCTGAATACTGACGCTTCCAAGGAAAAGATGCAGGTCGACAGCCCTGCTACTGCCGTTGAGCAGCTCAAAGAAGCCTCTGCCAACAATGGCGGCATCGACGAGTCTCTATACAGCAGACAACTGTATGTGCTGGGCCACGAGGCCATGAAGCGCATGGGCTCGTCCAACGTCCTTGTTGCTGGTCTGCGAGGTCTCGGTGTTGAGATTGCGAAGAACATCGCCCTTGCCGGAGTCAAATCGCTGACGCTCTACGACCCCAAGCCTGCCGCGCTCGCCGATCTATCTTCGCAGTTCTTCCTCACCCCCGACGACGTAGGAAAGCCGCGCGCTTCCGTCACCGTACCCCGCGTCTCCGAACTGAACCCATACACACCCGTCCAGGAATTCAGCGGCGGAGATCTGACGTCAGACCTGTCACAGCTGAAGCAATTCCAGGTTATTGTCCTTACAGACACATCGCTAGACGACCAGATCAAGATTGCCGACTATTGCCATGAGAACGGCATCTACATTGTAATCACCGATACATACGGTCTGTTTGGTACCATCTTCACCGACTTTGGCAAGAACTTCACCGTTGGCGACCCCACTGGCGAGAACGCCAACACTGGTATCATTGCTGGAATCGACGAGGAGGGCATTGTATCAGCATTGGATGAGACCAGGCATGGTCTGGAAGACGGTGACTGGGTCACGTTTTCAGAAGTCGAGGGCATGGAGGGTCTCAACGGCTGCGCGCCCCGCAAGATTGAGGTCAAGGGACCCTATACCTTCTCGATTGGCGATGTTTCGGGCCTAGGAGCATACAAGCGGGGCGGCCAGTTTATCCAGGTCAAGATGCCTAAGATTATCGACTTTGAGCCATTCAGCAAGCAGCTAAAGAAGCCCGAACTTCTCATTTCTGACTTTGCAAAGTTCGACCGGCCGCAACAGCTGCACGTCGGTATTCAAGCTCTCCACAAGTTTGCAAAACTTCACAGCGGCGAGTTCCCGCGTCCGCACCACGAGGCTGATGCGACAGAGCTATTTAAGATTGCGCAAGAAATTGCCGCTGAAGGGGAAGAGAAGGTTGAGCTGGACGAGAAGCTCATCAAGGAGCTCAGTTACCAGGCTCGCGGTGACCTCAGCCCTGTCGCTGCTTTCTTTGGTGGAATGGCCGCTCAGGAAGTGCTGAAATCTGTGTCGGGAAAGTTCCACCCGATTGTCCAGTTCCTCTACTTTGATTCGCTAGAGTCTCTTCCCACCTCGACCACTCGTTCGGAAGAGCAGTGCGCTCCAATTGGCTCCCGTTACGACGGCCAGATCGCGGTGCTCGGTCAAGAATACCAAAAGAAGCTCAGCAATGTCAAGCAATTCCTCGTGGGTGCGGGTGCCATTGGTTGTGAGATGCTCAAGAACTGGGCCATGATGGGCCTAGCGACTGGTCCTGAAGGCAAGATTACCGTGACCGACAACGACCAGATTGAGAAGAGCAACCTGAACCGCCAGTTCTTGTTCAGGCCCGCAGATGTCGGCAAGCTAAAGAGCGACGCTGCTGCAAAGGCGGTGCAGGTCATGAACCCTGATCTCAAGGGAAAGATTGTCACACTGCAGGACAAGGTTGGCCCCGATACCGAGCACATCTTCAATGAGGAGTTCTGGAACTCACTTGACGGTGTGACCAACGCGCTGGACAATGTGGAGGCACGCACATACGTCGACCGACGATGTGTCTTTTTCCGCAAGCCTCTACTTGACAGCGGCACTCTCGGTACCAAGGGCAACACTCAGGTTGTGCTGCCATTCATCACAGAGTCATACTCGTCGTCACAAGATCCACCAGAGAAGTCTTTCCCCATGTGTACATTGAGGAGTTTCCCCAACCGAATCGAACACACCATTGCATGGGCCCGAGAGTCTTTCGATTCGCTGTTTGTCAAGGGGCCTGAGATTGCCAACTTGTACCTGACGCAACCCGACTACCTTGGCGCGTCGCTGAAGCAATCTGGAAACGAGAAGCAGACGCTGGAGACTCTGCGAGACTTCTTGGTCACTGAGAAGCCGCTGACCTTTGATGACTGCATCATCTGGGCCCGTCACCAGTTCGAGAAGAACTACAACCACGCGATTGCGCAATTGTTGTACAACTTTCCCAAGGACTCCAAGACTGGCTCTGGTCAGCCGTTCTGGTCAGGACCGAAGCGCGCGCCCGACCCAACCAAGTTCGACCCCTCCAACCCGACTCACTTTACCTACGTGGAAGCTGCCGCCACGCTGCACGCCTACAACTATGGTATCAAGCCGAACGCATCCAAGGAACACTACGTGGAGGTGCTCAATGACATGATTGTTCCCGACTTCCAGCCCGACCCCACTGTGAAAATACAGGCAGACGAGAAAGAGCCTGATCCAAATGCCAATCAGTCTGGTGGTGATGATAATGATGCACTCAACAGCATCATTAACCAGCTGCCGGATCCAAAGTCTCTGGCTGGTTTCAAGCTTGAGCCTGTCGAGTTTGAAAAGGACGATGACACCAATCATCACATTGACTTTATCACTGCCGCTAGCAATCTCCGTGCCGAGAACTACAAGATCGAGCAGGCAGACCGCCACAAGACCAAGTTCATTGCTGGCAAGATCATTCCTGCCATTGCAACGACTACGGCGCTTGTCACTGGTCTTGTCAACCTTGAGCTGTACAAGATCATTGACGGCAAGACCGACATTGAGCAATACAAGAACGGCTTCATCAACCTGGCGCTGCCCTTCTTTGGTTTCAGTGAGCCAATAGCAAGTCCCAAGGGTACATACCAGAGCCACGATGGCGAAGTAACGATTGACAAGCTGTGGGATCGCTTCGAGGTCGACGATATTACTCTGAAGGAGTTTGTTGATCACTTTGAGGAGAAGGGACTCTCGATCCAGATGATCAGTTCTGGAGTTAGCTTGTTGTACGCATCTTTCTACCCTCCTTCGAAGCTGAAGGACAGGATGCCTCTGAAGTAAGTTGTTCGTAATATTTCGCTTGTCGGTGAGACTAACCTGCTTGATAGGATGAGCAAGCTTGTGGAGCACGTTAGCAAGAAGCCCGTCCCCGACCACCAGAAGAATGTCATTTTCGAAATCACGGCAGAGGACCAGAAGGAAGAGGATGTAGAGATACCATATGTGATGGTCAAGCTGAAGTAGATGCTTCTGGTTCGACTCATGACGGAATGGATATTGGATTAGTCTCGGAAGACTGGATGCAGACGATGGCAATAGGAATTAGACGAGCATAGCTTGCATGAATAGATGTCACAGTCTAGTGTTTATGTTTGTGTCCTGTGGTAGGAATGGGTGGTGTGGGTACAGACGGCTGGGGCGAATGGTGCCGAACGTCGGATGAGATGGCGGGGCAAAATGCCAAGAGTGCAGCCGTGTTGGGGATGTTGATTATCAAGCCCCTCCGACTTTCTTCCAGCACGCCACAATGTAGACTCTACAACCACGTAAGCACTCACAACCCACAATAGCCATGGCGCCGTCACTCGAAGAGCCCGTCCAGGTGGATTTCGAGGCGCCCCTCAAAGCAGCGCCCAAGCTCGTTGCGCCCGAGCCCGGTAGGTTTGCCCCGCCACTCGTCCGCCCCTTGTTCGGCGACTGACGCTTAGGTGGCAGAACACTGTCCTGGACCCGAATCAGCCACAGCTGGTACAGCAGACTCGTGTGCAGGATGCCCGAATCAAGCCATATGCGCATCAGCGCCCAAAGGCCCCGACCCCGACATTCCGCTCATAACGGCGCGACTCTCGTCGGTCAAACACAAGATACTCGTCTTGTCTGGCAAAGGGGGTGTGGGGAAATCGACGTTTAGCACGATGCTTTCGCACGGGTTTGCAGCGAATCCCCAATCGACAGTCGGCCTCATGGACACGGACATCTGCGGACCCAGCATCCCAAAGATGATGGGGGTAGAGGAAGAGACGATTCACGTTAGCGGAGAAGGTTGGGAGCCGGTATGGGTGAGCGAGAATCTTGGGGTGATGAGTGTGCAGTTTATGCTGCCGAACCGTGATGATGCGGTTATCTGGCGGGGTGCAAAGAAAAATGGGCTGATTAAAAAGTTCCTGATGGACGTGACGTGGGGTGAGCTGGACTTTTTGATTGTCGACACGCCACCAGGCACGTCGGACGAACATCTGTCGGTGAACTCGTTCCTCAAAGCTTCGGGCGTGGACGGCGCGGTGCTGGTATCGACACCGCAGGAGGTGTCGCTTCTTGACGTCAGAAAAGAGATTGATTTTTGCAGGAAAGCGGGGATACGGATTCTAGGGATTGTGGAAAACATGAGTGGATTCGTGTGTCCAGGATGCAAACACGAGAGCCAGATTTTCAGGGCGAGTACAGGTGGTGCGGCGAGATTGGCAAAGGATGAGAATATACCGTTCTTGGGCGCGGTGCCGCTGGACCCAAGAATCGGCATGGCGTGTGACTTTGGCGAGAGCTTCTTGACGGCATATCCAGACAGCCCGGCATGTGGTGCGATTCAAGAGGTGGTGCGGAGAGTAGCAGAGGAAATAGGGTTGAGCCGGGACGAGGTGCTACCTGTGGACGAAGAAGCGTGAGCTAGTGAGCAGATGCATGGCACAGGCGTTATTCATGGTTATTATTCTTTATCCAACTTCAGCGAGCAGATACCACGAATAGGAGTGTACCAACACAGCAGGACTTGATTGATGGATTGGTTTGTATCGACGCATTCGGACCGCCAGCCATTGAAGCCGGGTCGTGTGCGGGAGTGGCTTACGAGAGCGCTGGACGCAAGCGTGGTTGATCGGCATTTGCATTGGGCAGCGGCCGTATGATGATAGCCTGTGGGCGGGTATCACTTTTTGTGCGGGAACACAGGGGCAATGTATGTGCATGTGCGTATGTACGCATGCAGTCTTCCCTAACAGGGGTTGGGTCGCGAGCGCGTACCACGGTGTGCCATTGAAACACACGCACACATATATATATATATATATAAGTATATGTGGCTTAAGTGGAGCTGTGGCACTGTATACATACGGCGCTGTGTACACGCTGTGCCTATCTCCTTCCGTCTCCGTCTCCATGTCCATGTCTGTTTAATTATCCTAATTTGGGGTCTGTTTTTTTTCAACATAGGGCTATGTACGTGGAAACATGTTCAGCAGAACATATAGAAGAGGTTTGTTGCATCAGCGCTAGACTAATGTAGTAGTGCTTGCTTAGTGCTTATATGGTCTGTATTATTACCGTGTTTTTTTTTATGGAAGCAAAAGTAGAGCTTAGTTTGCAACGACCCACCTCGCAATATGCTAGTTACTCTATCTTGAAAAAAAAATTGCAATGTACCATGTACGAGGAAGAAGATTATGGCGTCTGGGTAGTGATGTGGAAGTACACAGTTAGTATGCAGTGGTAAGTAAATCCTGTTCTAGCGATTCATCTTTTCTTCCAAATAACATGTCTTGATGGCCGAGCTGCTGGGCGGACTACTACCAGCAGCTAAGCCTAGAACGAGGCTTGGAAACAGAGGAGCGGCTAGCCACAGGACACAGCCACTCCAAGTACGTCATTCCGCTAGGCCTGTGTGGGTGTGGCAGTGGCAGTGGCGGTGGCAGCACATGCACATGCACATGCACATGCACATGTGCATGCACAGGCCTTGTGAACCATACATAGCGCGCAGTCTTGGCAGCTAACAAAGCTTCGGTGCGGGCGCCAGCTGCCGCCAAGCCCCAGTAATGAGCTCATCGATGTCGCTGCCTTTCCCCCCGTGGCCCCCCCCCCTTCTGTGCGAATTCATCGGATGCATTGACGAGGCCGAACAACAATCCACATCACAAGGGGCTTTTATCGCGGCGCGCGTGTTGAGTATGATATGACGCTTTATTTTGTTTTCGCCATCTCGTCGGCAGCCCACGCCCTCGCTCTGGCACGATCCACCGGTTGCGGGCGGCCCTTGGCCCTGCTTGCTGGGTGGAAAGTGGCTCGAGGGGTGAACAGGATTCCCCCCGGCTAGCGGCTGCCCATCCCCTGCCGTCCCTGTGCCATCAATTGCTAGCATAACAACTTTTTGACACTTGAGCCTCGAGGCCCCATTCACTCCGTCACCACCCCTCTCACTCTCCCACACCCTCTTCCTGCCTACATATATCCTTGCGTATGCCCTGAGCCCATTGCTTTGCGTCTATCGTGTCAATTGGCTCTTTCGCCGTTGTATCGCGACATCATTTCCGTGCCGCGCATAGGGTGCGCGCCGCAGCTCAGCTTACATTCATACAAATATACAGAGCCTCGGCACATTCGCACACTGTGAGTCTCGACCTGGGCTGTTTGAGTCTTTCTGCTAACCGGAGCGCCCATTATCCAGTCCTAACTCTTGTTTGACGCGCCTGCGCAAGACTTGCTTGCATTCCGCCACACCGAACCATAGTCGCGGCACATTGGCGCCATGGCAACCGAAACCGAGCAACCCGTTTTCACCATGAACACCGGCTATGGGCGTCAGGCTGTCAGCACCTCGGGCGTCTTGGACGTGGTTATGGGCCCGCTTTTGAACTATAGGCGCACTAGCAACCAGCAGACCGGACAGCCCATATGGCATGGCAGCGCGCTGATTGTCACCAAGCCCGGACAGCACGATGCGGCCCCTCAGCTTGTACTATCGCCAGCAGGCGCAGTGGACAAGACGCTGGGAGATGTGCGGTTCAGCGTGTCGGAGAGGGTCTTCCACGGCCAAAAGCTGTACGAAGACGCCAAAAAGGCATTCTGGCGCTTTCTCATCGAGGCGCCCATGCAGCCCTTCGAGTCAAGGTGGAGCTATGATATCCAGACTATCCAGTACCCCGACGGCATCAAGGAGCAGAAGCCGACAATCTTTTCCATACCCTCTATCACCCAGTCGATGCGCATCATGTTCCATTCGTGCAATGGCTTTAGTGTGGGGACAGACCTGGACGTGTGGCAAGGCCCCGTGCTCTGGAATGATGTCCTTCGCATGCACGAGCAGCGCCCCTTTCACGTCATGATTGGCGGAGGTGACCAAATCTACAATGATGGAGTACGAGTAGACGGCCCGCTCAAGCCCTGGACGGATATCGGCAACCCCCACAAGCGACGCGAGTTCCCCTTTGACCAGAAGATGCGTGCCGAGTGCGACGAGTACTATTACAACAACTACATCAGGTGGTACGGGCAGGCTCCCTTCTCCACTGCCAACAGCCAGATTCCTCAGGTCAACATCTGGGATGATCACGATATCATTGACGGCTTTGGCTCGTATACTGATCATTTTATGAACTGCGCCGTGTTCCGCGGCATTGGCGGAGTCGCGCACAAGTACTATCTTTTGTTCCAGCATCATCTCGCGCCCCCAAAAAGCACCTTTACCACGGATGCGCCCCAGACGACGGCAGTACATGCCCAAGGAGAGACTACAACGCCTGCGGATCAGAAGCAGGTTGACGAGACTTTTGTAATGGATAATGACGAAGGTGACCCATCATACATTATTGGCGCAAAGCCTGGCCCGTATGTCGAGGAATGCAGCCGCAACATCTACTGCCAGCTTGGCGCACGCATTGCCTTTGCCGGTATCGATGCGCGAACAGAGCGCACAAGACATCAGGTCAACTACCCCGAGACGTATAAGCTGCTGTTTGATCGTCTGGATGCCGAGTTTACGGCAAACCCAGAGCTAAAACACATGATTTTGCTGCTCGGTGTTCCCATTGCGTATCCTCGTTTGATCTGGCTTGAGAACATTCTGCAATCCCCATTGATTGCGCCCATCAAGTTTCTGAACAAGCGCTTCGGCTTCGCGGGCGGCTTCTTCAACCAGTTTGACGGCAAGGTCGATTTGCTTGACGACCTCGACGACCACTACACGGCTCGGCAGCACAAGGAGGAGCGCCGGCATCTGATGCACAGCCTGCAAGCCTTCTCGCAAAAGTTCTCCGCTCGCGTTACCATTCTCGGAGGAGACGTGCATCTCGGCGCCATTGGACGATTCTACTCGAATGCCAAACAAGGACTTCGCGCCGAGGAGGACTGGCGCTACATGCCCAACATTATCAGTTCGGCCATCACCAACAAGCCACCGCCCCAAGCCGTTGCCAACCTGCTCGCCAAGCGAAACAAGATCCACCACCTGGACAAGGAAACCGACGAGACGCTGCTTGAAATCTTTGACCGCGATCCCGCCCTGCCCGACGGCATGACGGCCACAAACGGCACGAGCGACTCGGGCGGCAAACCCGAATCCAAAACGTCCGACTCCAACCACGCCACCATGCCCTCGCGCAACTATGCCATCATCTGCGAATCGACGATTCCACCCGCCGCCACTCTCTCGGTGCCCGGCCAGGCCCCCTCGATTACGACAAACGGCGACGCAAAGTCTACGCTCAGCGAAGCCCCCGGTGCCAAAGACAACATGCGTCAGCCCTTTCACCTGGGCGAGCATGGCGCAGGCACACAGCATCCGGCAGCCAATGGCATCCAGCCGTCTGGCCTGTGCGGGCCGTACGGTCTGGATGTCACGCTCAGGGTGGAGATTAGCAACAAGGATCGCGAGGGCAGGACAGATGGATACGGGTTTACGATTCCAGGGCTTATGGTTAATGATGCCCTGAGGCAGAAGGGCACCAAGTGGTAGTTTTTTTTCTTCTTCTTCTTGTTGTTTGGATTCTTTCTAGGCATGGTGGGATTTGGATAAGGGGGAGTGGAATAATGGAGAGAGGAAGAGAGGAAAGAAGAGTAATGTAGTGTCAATGGGGTAATGTAAGGAAGACATGTGAGAAGAGATGGAACAAGATGTGGAACTTGGTACGAGTGCTTGTGAGCGTTGTTGAACATGTTGATGTCATGTTTTTTTGTTAGGTTGGATTTGGTGGATTTGGTGGATTCGTTATGAGTAGTATACATACCCCCTCTACACCGTAGTTCTCTTGATTTTTTCTTTTCTTTTTCTTTCTTTCAAAGACAGCCTAGGGGTTTGAAACCATGGAGAGAGGCTTTTCTAGGATAAATCTAGTGGTTCTACATAACATCGAATAAAGAGCAAAGAATGCTTTTGAATCTCGCTTTCGCTCCTTTGTACGCTGTATTTTCAAATGCCGTGGTCTAGAAGAAGAAGAAGAAGAAGAAGAAGAAGAAGAAGAAGAATCCCTCCATGATAGTGAAATTGGTTCATTTGTTTTTTTTGTCTTTTCTGTTTCTTTTTTCTTGAAATCGCTATATATGTGACATGGGCCCGCTCAGTGGAATACACAGATGTTGTATTGATGAGCGAGGCGGGAAGACGGGAGGGGTATGAACTTGTTATATACATGTCCTGGATCCGTGGAGAAAAGAAAGAAAGAAACAGCCGGTCTTGACAATGTGACGGAAAGAAATAAAAAAAAAAGACACATGCTATTGAGACATGAGCAAGGAAAGACGGTACTTACAGAAAGGACAAGGAAAGGGAAAAAGGGAAAAGAATTCGTTAAAAACGACATGAGAGGAAGAGCATGAAAAGTGCAAACTCCAAAAGGAAAAGAAAAGTAAAGAAATCGTCACCTCTGTTGCTACAAAATGGTTCTTATTGTTTGCTCCTTCACCACGAAAAGGAGTGATGGAGAGATCGCGGCTCGTCACCACTGACGGGTTTCCGCAACGAGGCAAACAGGGCGAGCAACTGTGCCGCCTCCATGCCGCCGTATTCCTGCCAAAAGGTCGACGATGACGAAGCCTGCTGCATAGCCAGCTCGTAGCACGTTTCCAGCAGCGCATTGGTGTTCTCGGGCGCGTCCTTGATGCGAACTTTCATGGCAATGGCCATGGCGAGGAAGACGTGGAAGCGGGCCATGGCCATGGAGGCGGTGATTTCAACTGCAGACGTAGGCTGTGGGTTGGGATAGACGGCTTCGCAGAAACGGGCAAAGAGCAAGGGGGAAATGGAGTAGGCCTTGTAGTCGAGCGAGTCGAGATGGCGGATAAACTCGTTGGTCAGGGTTTCGGCCTCGAAGCGGCTGGGCAGCGGCGTGGTTGCCAGCGCGCGACTGCGGTCGGTGAAGCTGGAGCGCGAAGAACACGGGCCTGGGCTGTCGGCTTGACGGGCGGCGAAGACGCCCTGGCGAGGCAGTCTGGGAGCTGGGGCCAGCGGCAGCAGATCGTCGTCGACCTCGGGAATGGGAGACATGGTTTGCTCGTTGCTGCCCTGGGACAAGGACGACGTCGACGTCTTGCGCGAGTGGGCGCCTCGACTGCTGGTGCCGGGCTGGAGCTTGCTGGAGGCGGCGTGGGCCATGAATTCCCAGGATGGGGCCGTGTGCATTTCCGTGGCGGCGGGGTAGGTTTTGCTGGCGGAGGTGTAGGCGGCGGGGTACTGGGGTAGCGGGGGACCCGGGGGCATGGATTCGGGGGAGGAGGCACGCGTGGTACCTAACCATAATGAAGGTACTGGTGAAGATGGCGAGGAAAAGTTGGGGAAAGGCTCACATTCGTCTATGGCGATGGAGGGCATGCTGCCACTGGTAGCGGAGAAGGCGGCTAGGTCCAGGTCGTCGGCCGTGTAGGTTGCGGGGATGGTGGTGTCAAGGTTGAGGTTGGCCGGGGCGGCGCGCCAGTCAAACGACGTCGGGGTGGTGGCCATGAGATTGTGGTCAATCGACTCCATGCCGTGCATGGGGGCATTCACATGGCGCGCGAGCTGGGCCTCGAGCTGGTGGATGCGGCCTTCGAGGGCCTCGCGATGTTCCCTTTTTGCGGGGGTCAGCAGGTGCAGGTGCAGGTGCATGGCATGTCACGTGACTGCGCGAGGGGAGCGCGTGCGGGGGGGGGCAAAGGCTACTGACGATGCCACGACCTCTTTTGGTTTCTGCGTTCTCACGCACTGCACGGCAAAGCGCTTGCACGTGGCGCAGGGCGTCTCGCCGTCGCAGCGGATCTTGCGGCGGCGGCAGCGCTCGCAGGCATTGGAGACGGACTTGCGCCTGGGCTGCCAGTCCTTGACGGCCGTGGGCGAGGCAAAGCGGGCAGGGCCTTCGCCGGCAGGCAACGATGCTTTTGAGCGTGGTTAGGTCGGGCGGCTCAGCAGGCGGGCGGGCGCCAAGCTTACTGAAGGGGCACATGCTGGAGGGCAGTGTAGAGTGTTCCGCGTCGGAAGGGTGGCGATCCGGCGAGCTTGATTCGATTGCAGGCGGTGGGCAGGCGGTGATGGGCAGACGGAGGCGTGCGAAGGGAAGGGTGCGGCGGAGGACGAGAACTCGGGTTGTTTTACATCCCGCTGGAGGGCGCGGTGACAACGGGCGCGGCTTGACTAATCGCCTGCACCTGCCGCGGGGCCGGCCAAGCACGCAGCGCGCGACACACTCTTCCGACACTTGGGGCCTCACCATGCGCTGCGACGGCGCTGGGGGGCGCGGGGCATAGCCGTAGGCGTGCACCTGCGACAAGCCGCCATGGCGCTGCCGCACCCAACTTGGCCGCCCCCGCCGCGCCTTCTAGAAGATGGCGCCTTGGCACCCCGACGGCGCCCTCGCCGCCCTCCGCGTCTGCAGCAGCTGCGTCGCACACTGCGCCTCGCCCCCCCCTCCCACACACGGAATCGCCGGTGCATCGCTCCGCTGCCCGTCCTCGCTATGCCCGGGCAGCCTGCCGCGTGCATATTACTCCTTGCACATGCACCGCCCCTTACACTGACTGACTGACTGACTGACTGACTGACTGACTGACTGACTGACTGACTGACGGACAGACTGACTACACACATACCGTACTGCACATGCACGAGACGCGTGGGGCCGCCGCCTTCACCTGCACGGTGCCGCTGCCTGTGCCGCTGCCTGTGCCCGACGCCTCAAAACGAACCACTCCCCCGTGTCTCACCACGACGACTCGTACAGCGCCCATCTCTCTGCCCGCGCCGCGCCGCGCGTCGCTCGCCTCGCAACCAGCAGCATTTCTATTCATGCTCTGCTGCATTCTCGTCAACACTCCCACGTCCCGCCCGCCTCTATACGCGACACAGCGCCCCATTCGTCGACTGCCCGCCCTTTCCAACCGCCGCCTTATCGTCAATGGCCCAGCCCTCGCTGCCCACCCCGTCGTCGACGTACAAGAGCATGCCGGGGTCGTGCCTGTTCTTGATGTGCAACAGCCGAGGGTAATTGGCCCCCCCCTAGAAAGAGTGCTGCCACGCCGGCTCCGCAATGTCGGCCTCGTTGCCATATGCACCACCCGCCGCCGCCTGCTCGCCAACCGAATTGATAATCACCACCTGGCTCTCTTCGTCGCCCACCGCGGGCTTCGCCGAGTTGCCATGCTTGCTCTTCTGCGCCGCTGGCCGCTGGTGGTGCATGTTAACCACTCCCGCGCTCTCGACGACACGTCGCATCGCCGCAAACGTCTGGTCGCGGCTTGCGGAACCCTTCCAGTTGTCCCATGTCACCGGCCGGTTGCACGCCATGCCCTCCCCGCCCCGCCAATGTAGTAGTTGAACGTCGCAAACGTGGCCTGGTATGCCGGATAGAAGCTGTCGTAGTAGCTCGTATTGGCATTCACCCCGATGCCCAGCGACGCACACTTGTCGTAGAACGGCTTGATCAGCGTCTCATACTCCTCGACCGTTTTGCCCGTTGCGAAAATCGGATTCATGGTCCACAGGTACGCGCCCGGCGCCAGTGCCATGAGCGTAAAGTACGACTAAGTCTGGGCTCGGTTGCAAACAGGCATCTTGTCAAGGTAAAACCTAAATGCCTCCCAAAGCTTGTCGGCGGTAACTGTCTCAGACGTCATGATGCTCCACGAAGACGTTGTGACAGGAACTCGCCGGTGGGTCTTTGCCATCGCAGACGCAATGACACCAAACGTCCCCCCACCTCCGCCAAGCATGGCCCAGTAGAGATGGCTATTTACCTCAGGGGTAGCGGTAGCGAAGCGCCCACGGGCGAGCACCACTTCGAGAGCGACAATCCGATCAGCACCCACGCCAAAGAGCTGCATCAAAGGTAAATGCCCGCCACCCGTCGAATAACCACCAGTGACACCCACGGTTGGACAGATGCCAGCGACAGCAGACACGCCGAGTTTGTCAGCAGCCTGATACAACTCGAATCCCTGCACACCCGCTCCAAGTTTGAACACCGGCCCTTCATATGTGGGGCTGATGTACTTCTCCACATACTTTATCTCTTTCAATCCATGCGTCCAAATGCTGAGCGCCCCTTTGCCAACTGACCGACCGTTGTAGTCATGGCCAGTGTTTCGAACCACAAGCCCGAGGTTGAGGTTTCGGGCGAGGTTTACCGCCAGCTGCATTTGTGCAACATCGCTGACCTTGACTGCATATTCCGCGTATCCGCCCTGCGTGCAAGTCGCGTTTACAAAGTTGCCTGCCGTGGGAATCAGACACGTCATGCCCTACCATAACGGATTCATCAGCGCACCATTGTCCTTGTAGCTACATTGGTCAGCCATTGCCTTGTCGCTATTCTAAGCATCTACGTAATAGATGTCCTTCGCGTCGAAATTCTTGACCAGCTCGGCGCACTTGGTAGCATTGTAGTTGTTGCATTGTTTTTGTAGCGGAGTGCCCTGCGGGCTCGACAAGCCCGCACTAACATGGTCGAGTTTAGGCCGTCTTCAAAGTCGAAAAACCAGGCATATTCTGTGTATTTAGGGTGCTCTGCGGCTCATGTAAACCTGTGTAGCCTATCAGCTCCAACTTGCATGCAGCCGAGGAAAATCCCATCCGGTCCAAGATAAATTATATATTACTTGGATCAATCCCCTACGCATGGCTCTGTTGTGAGGGTGCGGGAAAAGCTCTTGACCATCTGCAGCCACAAAGCGAGCAACTGGGTGTATTCCGTCTAGAACGCCATAGATGGACGGGTAAAGATGCACTGGGGTACTAGTCCGATGGCAATGGCAACCCCTTGATTCCCATCAAGTCTGGCCTTGCAGAAGCATGCGCTTTGTCGAGCTGCATTACAACGCGCATTGGAAAGGAATGGTGTGGACTGGCTTCACCACCAGGAAGTAGTATATGCAAAGATCCGTGCATCTACTCGATCGCCACGGCATGTGGTAGTATCTCCACTCTCGTCTTACATGTCAGCATTCCCCACAAGTTATCGAAAACGTATGCAGCTCAAATCCTCCGGGATCACTCCTGCATGCTGTCTGTACATTAGTCTTTTCCAGAGGCACGTGCGTTTTGCGCCGTGTAATGGCATTTCAACGCGTCGGAAAAGCATGAATGCGCGGCCATGTTGTAATCATGCCCCGGTGTGTGTGACTTGGCCCCTGGCCGTCGCCCAAGAATGCACTCTGCGGTAGTTTGATTTTCGGTTCGACAGGAACCGTGAGTCGTGTTTGGCAATCTTGTGCACATACGTATTGAGTCAACCAAAGGATTGCGGTGAGGAGGCTTGATTTGTTTCGCCAGAGGTTCCTCGGTCGGAGCTAGCCGTCTTATCGCGGGCCGTAAACTGCCTGATAAGGAACTTTCAACCGAAAGCCTAGCGTCTATAGCGTCTAGACCACGGTGCAGTTGCCGACGCGGAGCCCGTCCAGTTGAACATCTCTTTGTGGACTTGTTATATCCATGGGAGCGAGAACCTACACGAGCCATACACCTCCTCATCGTCCATCGGCGTCAACTCGCATCCAAAGCGTTGGAGTTATTTTTTCCGGATCCCCGACTGATATATCCGGCGTAGCCAATTTCCCTCGCGGCAGTCGGCCGAAGCGTGCAACAAGATCCCGACTCGACCTCACTTGATCTCACTTAATCTCAAACCCACACTACAGGACTCTGGAACCATGTCGAAAATCAGTGGAGCAGAAGTAGCAAAGCACAACAGCAAAAATGACTGTTGGATGGTTCTCGATTCAAAGGTGTACGACGTTTCAAAGTTCGTGTTTGAACATCCGGGTGGAGCCACGATCCTCCTAAAGAACGCTGGGTCGGTGAGTATACATCAGCGCGTAGCGGGAACATTGATTGACATGACGACAGGATGCAACAGAAGAGTTTAAGATATACCATCCGCTGACTTATGTGGATGACTACCTACCCAAGGATGCCTATCTAGGACCCATCGATGCCAACACCTTGGGAGAGCTTCGCCAAATCAAAGCTGCAGGGCCAAAGAAGCCAGCAGAAGCCGACCCAAACTCCAATGAGATTCCACACGTCAATCTCTGCGTCACCACCATGGACTTTGAGCCAGTGGCAAAGGCGGTCATACCTCACAAGTCATACATCTATGTCTCTGGATCCGCAAACACGGGCGCATCCATCAGAGGCAACATCGGCGACTGGGAGCGCGTCACCTTCCGCCCGCGCGTCCTGCGCGATGTAGCCAAAGTGGACATGAGCCGCAAGATTGCTGGATGCAGCTCACCGTATCCATTCTACATCTGCCCCATGGGAACAATGGGTGCGATCCACGCAAATGCCGAGCCTGAAATGATACGAGGCGCTGTGCGCAAAGGCATACACAAGGTTGTCAGCACCGCAAGTAGCAAGAAGAGCGAAGCCATCATGGAGAGCTATGTCGAAGAGCAAAAGAAAGTTGGAAACAAGAGCCCGACACAGCTTTACTACCAATACTACATGCCCGAGGACAGGAAGAAGGCCGTCGAGCTCATCCATATTGCGAAGCGCTGTGGGTACAAGGGGCTGTGGATGACAGTCGACACGCCTGTGCTAGGAAAGCGTACCGCTGATCGTTACCTGCAGGCCGAGGAGGCTGTCGCGTTCGGCGTCGTTGAAGAGCTGCCTTCCATGTGGGAAGCCGGCGGTGACAATGACTTTGCCCCGGCAATGGGCGGACGCCCCGCCATGGGCCAATTGAGCGCCAACATTACATGGAAAGACATTGAATGGATCAGCAGGGAATGGGGCGGCCCCATTGTGCTCAAGGGTATCCAGTGCGCAGAGGACGCCAAGCTCGCGCTGGAATACGGGTGTGCAGGCATCTTGCTCAGCAACCACGGCGGCCGACAAATGCACACGGCACCTAGTGCGCTCATGACGCTGCTCGAAATCCGCACCTACTGCCCAGAGGTCCTGGGCAAACTGGAAATCTACCTCGATGGCGGGCTCCGAGATGGCAACGATGTGCTCAAGGCCCTGTGCTTGGGCGCGACGGCCGTCGGCGTGGGTAGGCCCTTCCTGTACGCACTCGGTGCGTATGGAGCAAAGGGAGTGGAGAGATGTGTCGACAGTAAGTTTGCAAGCAGGGACGGGCTAAGACCAAGATTACTAACACTTGGTAGTACTCACTGACGAGCTGGAAACGGGCATGCGCTTGCTGGGCATCACGTCGCTGGATCAGTGCAGACCGGACATGGTCAACGCCACTCGCTTGCTCAACGAAATGTGGCGACCCGAGCCGCTCGGTGCAAAGAGCAGGCTGTAATTAGACTGCATTGTGTAGTAGTAGTATGGAGTTGAGCCATCAAAACAACGATTGGATTCATGTTTCCTAGGCAGATTTCTTGTTGAGCTGCGCCCAAGGACATGGAGGTTGTGACCCCACCTACTACCCCGGCCGCTTTGCCGTGGTGATAACACTGCATTCATAACTTCACTAAGCCATCTGACTGGCATCAAAACACCTTACGGTGAGATGGCCGAGTTGGTTATGGCGCCAGGTTAAGGTTTTCTTAACACTATATTCCTGGTCACGAAAGTGGCGTGGGTTCGAGTCCCACTCTCATCAGCATTCGTCTGCTTCTGCAGATAACCCAGGTTCTTTTTACTCTTTGTGGCGGCTCGGTAGTAATCTTGCAGTGGAGAATTTTTGTTTTCGGTATGTATATGTGTGATGGCAGCCGCTACTGCATAATGTGTTGCTTATGCCTTGTGACTATTGCATAGGAGCGTCTTCTCTGTCCACTTTTTTTTTATTAAAGCAATGGGTCCAAACAGCGTAAATCACACCTGCAAAACGAGAATTTACACTTACTTCGACTATCTTATCCTGTAAAGCACCGCTTATCTATCCTGTACAAGGGGCTAGATATTGTTGGTACCTCCAGCTCCCTTCAGCTACATACCCGTCACATTGTGCAACGCGCTATTCGACAGCGGAATTGGCTCATGATCTAAACATGGAAAGGCTCTCGCAATTAACGTCACAGCTAGCGCGCATTCAAAGCCAGCCAGGCTCGGGTAACGCTACCCCGCGTCAGACCGATCACGGCTTCCCTGCAACTACATACATCACCAACATGGCAAAGACAAAGGTCGTTGTGACGCGTCAGCTCATAGACGAGGCCCAGACGCTTCTGGATGAGAGGAAGTACAGTCTGGAGATTGTGCAATGGCGGTCGGAAAAGGCAAGTCAGGATTGAGAGGCGAAGAGACGGATGGCTGACAAGTGGCATACAGCCGTGTGACCGGTCGTGGCTCCTACAAAATGTCAAAGGCGCCAGCGGTATGCTAGTGATGCTCAGCGACAAGGTCGATGAGGAGCTTCTGGAAGCTGCCGGGCCTCAGCTGAAAACCATTGCCTCTTTCTCTGTCGGGACCGATCACGTGGACCGAGATGCATTGAAGAAACGCAACATCCGTCTGGGTTACACCCCTACATGCTTGACCGATGCTGTAGCAGATCTCACCATCATGCTTATCCTAATGGCGCAAAGACGAGGCGGAGAGTCAATGTCCAAAGTCGCCAAAGGCGAATGGCCACAGATGCCGTGGCATCCGCTGCTCATGACTGGTCCCCAGATCCGAGGGTCGACGGTGGGATTCCTGGGCTTTGGCAGAATCGCCCAAGCCTCGCTGCAAAGGCTGTTGCCCTTTGGTATCAAGCGCGTGATTTACCTCACTTCCAAGCCTGGGCAGCCCGTCAAAGAAGACCATTTCGGCTTACTCACAAACCCCAGCATCCCCATTGAGCCCGCCGCCAGCGTCGATCAACTTGCCCAGGAAAGCGACGTTGTCATTGTCGGATGTGCTTTGACCCCGTCGACCAAGCACCTGGTCAGCACTGACTTCTTCGCAAAGATGAAGAAGCTGTCCGTCGTTGTCAACATCGCGCGTGGGCCCATCATCGACACCAATGCCCTGGTCAAGGCGCTGGAAGAAGAGCAGATTTTCGGTGCAGGCTTGGATGTGATAGAGAACGAGCCCAACATTGCGGCCGATCACCCCATCTTGAAGCAGCCAAGGGCTGTTCTCGTACCGCATATTGGAAGCGCTACCATTGAGACGCGTTTGCAGATGGCGACGGAAAGCGTGCAGAATCTGCTGGCGGGACTGACGGGAGAGAAGATGATCAATGAGTTGCAGCTTTGAGCTATGGTTGTGCTCAAGAGTGGTATACAAAGACTTGGATGACGTGTTATCCTAGGCGAAATTCGCGTTCGTGCAGTAAAATAACGTGGTCATGTCTACCCGAGTGACTCTCATAGCTTGATATCTGTCCGACCTCTGAAATGGCACTTGTCCAACCTCTCTTTCGTCATCAAAAAGCTTTCTGGAAACCATTCCGGCTTCTCTTGAGCCCCACCTGTTCCAATCATCTTGACTAGTGCCTCGGCTGATTTCAGGCACAGCACCATACCATGACCATTGAAGCCCGCTGATATCCACATGCCCTTTTTGCCCGGAACCTCACCAACAAAAGGTCGTCCATCAGCTGTTGCGCCCATGATTCCCGTCCACTCTTGTACAACCCGTTTGGACTCTTCGCCATCAGAGGATTCGCCCCAGTTTTCGGTGCCATGATAGCATTTGAGGGTCTCGCGAAGGTATTCCGAGATGCTTGGGTTCAACGACCCATCATCGACGATGCCAAACTCGCTTGCGCCATCGGCTGGAAGGCGACGCAGACCCCCTCCAATGACAATGTGCTGTCCTCCTTCTTGGACCGGTCGCGGGATCATGTACTCGTAACCTTCGCCAGAGATGAATGAGTATGTTGTCGGCAGTGGAGCAGGCAGTTTGGTTGCGTTTCCTGGGCGCTGGACCGTGATTTGGCCGCGCATGGGGACAATGGCGCCTTGTAGCTCCTTCATGATGTATGGAGTGTACCCATTCGCTGCTACAATGACATGATCGGCTGCGATGGTATTGTGCTGCGTGATGAGTTCCCATCTAGTATTATTCTCTTTGCTAGTGTGCTGAGAGGGTTGTATCTTGTGCACAGTCGTGTTGGTACACAGCTGCAGCCCTTTCTCGACACACTCTGACAAGACACCAGTCGTGAAGCGATACGCATGAACCCGCCCAGCCAGATACTCAAAGGCACCTGCGACCTTTTCCTTCTCTTGTAATGCGGGATTAGAGTTTTCCGGTGCAACAAAAAACTTTCTCTGAACTTCCGCCGCATCTTCGTAGACATGATACCACGCCGCTTTACCGACTTCCTTTTTATCCGCCTCGGCATGAGTGCGCAGCGCCTGGATTGCCGTTTTACCCATCTCAAAAGTGGGCTTATCGTAGATGACATCGACTGTGTTGCAAAGTCTACTTTCGCAGTCCAGGCCCAGTTGCTCGGCCATGCGATGCGTCTCGACAATGTTCGCATACTCTAGTCTGGCAATCTTGAGTGCTTCTTGCTTGCCGAGCTCTTCCACGTGTTGCAAGTAGGTCCGGTAGCTCGCTGCTTTAGTGTGGCCCCCATTGCGACCTGTGGCGCCAGAACAGGCCTCGCGCGCTTCAAGCATTACAATGCGTGCACCTGGTCGAGACTGGAGAAGATTGTATGCGATCATGGTGCCGGAGATGCCGGAGCCGACTATGGCATAGTCGTAAGGCTTTGTGAGATTATCTTTATTGGATTCAGTGGCATTTGCAAGAGGTGATTTTGGGTTGTGCCAATACGAAGGGAGGGGGTTAGCAATTGGTGGTGAGACAGGGATGCGGGCTCGTTGCTCCATGGCTGCTTCGGATCTTTAGCTATGTAGTGCCTTTTGGAGTTTGATGTGTAATTGAGCCTCTCTAAAAACAGTGCGTTCAACGTAGCCTTGGGAAACAAGAGATTGTTGCTAGAACAAGTGATGGAGGCTCGCGATACCACGAGTGGGGTAGGTGCATATCGGCTAGACATGCTTTTTTGGGTTAGACACCACGACGATGTTCCCCACTCTTCCCCTACGTCTTCAGGATACAGTATCGCAGACAGCGATTGGTTCAAACATTTCGAGATATAAGCATGTGTTGATACGGCGAGGGATATTAAGACGATATATCTTATCTGTTTGGCCATACAGCCCTAGGCCATATTACATAAATCTCTTGTTTTTGTGACTAGTTTTGGAATACGTACCGGGACACGGGGGAAAACGCTACATGCGATGATTAAGGTTGTGATTCAGTTTTAATGTCACGGCTCAGGCTCACAGAAAGAAGAGAGTGGTGAATACAAAGGATCTATTGCTACAGACTTATCAGGCAGGGCTCGTACTACAGCTAGTCGAGCGTGATTGACAGGTCGTTGAGCAGTCTTGCAGAGTTCGCGTGTCCAGACCAGCATCTAGATATCTAATCAGAGTCTACATTCGCTAGCTGCCTCAGCTAGTAGTGCTGTAATACAAGAAAATAGCAACCGATATAATTTGGCTCCCAGACACCATAGTATACTAAAGAGACGTCAGAGCCTCCAAGTTGATCTCCTCTCTTCGTCTGCGATACTGCAATTGAGCCTTTGGATCGACCGTCATGAACTGGCCAGAGACGAATGGTTGAGTTGATGTTCCAGGGGCCAATTTCCAGTCATACTTTAACAGGAGATGACAAAGCGCAAGTTTTATCTCATTGGAGGCGAAGAAGCGACCAGGACACGAGTACTTACCATGCCCAAAAGGCAGGAAGTCGGGGCTCGTACTAACCAGTTGAGCTTTGTGAGCGCTCTCGGGATGCTCGCGCATGCGCAGAAATCGGTACATGTCATAAGTTTCCGGGTTAGAATGAACTGATGGGTCCCACATAGGCGTCATGTCTACTTGAACTCTTTCACCTTTACGGATCTTCAAATGACCCTCCAGGGCGACGTCTTCCATGACAATGCGTCGTAGTTGGACTGCATTTATTTTGTTAGCTGATAATAAATGTTGCAAGGGCTACTGGAAAATACGTACGTGTTTCAGATGGCCTCAATCTCTGCGCTTCCTTTACAGCACTGTCAAGAAGCTTGAGGTTGTACAGAGCAGTCTTTTTCCACCCTTCTTTGCTCAGCACGTCTATCATTTCTTCCCGTAAGGCGGTGATCTGCGATGGTTCATTCGCCAAACGCAGCATTACTTCGCATGCCAAATCTGTTGTGGTATGGATCGCCGCAAAAGAGAGTATTAGCTGCACTGACGCTGGATCATAAGGCTGTCCACGGAACTCAGCCTCTGCCCATTCCAAAGCATCATTGAAGTGTGGCATGGGCTCGTTATTGATCCTGGCCTGTTCCTTGATTGCCCTGCGTTTGGCGAGGACAGGTGCAATTATCTCTCGAGCGCGCCGCATTTGGTTACAAACCAGCTTGGACTTTGGAAAAAAGTATGACAACAATGGCTTGATGAAAACCGGTATGATCTGCATTTCCATGGCCGCCATGAAAGCATTGTCAGTATATTGTGTGGTTATTGCAAGCCAGTCTTCGTTGCGACAAATCTCCTCGCCAAGGAAAACGCGTGACGACATTCGTGCAACAATGCTCGAAGTCATTTTTGCTAGACTCATAGTTTTCCAGTCTAAGATAGTGTGAGAAAACGGCCTAGGAATGTTTGAAAAAACTTACCAGAAGACGAGCCTAGAACATGGTCTACAGCGAAGGTAGCTTCTTCGGCCAACGGTTCTGTAACAGTGTCTATGTTGCAAGTATATTAGCAAATTAATTGTGCATCTCACTGAGTCTCACGTACTCAGAAGCTTTGTGAGATGCTTCTTGATCATATTCTGCACCATCTCGTCTGGACGGTCAATAAATGCGAATGGCTCAAAACCTGGTACGTTGCCTGGAAAGTCCTAGTTTCTGTAAGTATCTCTTATGAAGGAAATCAAAAAGTCGATTTCAAGGCTTATTTATAGTTAAAAACGCTTTCCTAAAGTTGAATGCAGAATGGTTATGAATGATGCCGCCATAGCGCGCAGGAAGAACAATGACTTCTCCAATTGTCGTGAGCATCCTATATGGCGTGCCTCCAAATCTCTTCACGGCTGAAAAATGGTATTCTGCCCATTTTTAAGAGATTCCCGCTGTTTTGCAAACGGTAGATCGAATACGGAGGGAGGATTCGCATGAGGAAGCTTGCTCTTGCGATTGTAATTCAGAGCAGCTGGGCCAACGATAATAGCTAAGAAGAAACAACCTATAAAAATAGGCAGTTGTTCGAAGTTGAGCAAACTTCCACGGAAAGCAACTGATGACAGAAGCGGCATTGCGCTGTCGGTATCCGTGTGATGGGCTTTTGACTCTTGGTAATCTGTTCGTTGGAGATATTTCCTCGAGGGCGATGGCACGAATATTTTATAGTCATCCCAAAGGTACGTAAAGGCATTGCAGGAGTAATCACTACCCAAAACTGTTGGGCGACTTCGTCTCGGATGTGTATGGTTCCGCACACCCGAGTTATTTTCCTCGCATCAAGCGAGAACCATTAGATTTACAATCTGCCAAGGTCTGACCAAGAGTGGGTCCGCGTAAGCCATCTTGCTCCCAAGCTGTTGATCTCCATCTAACGTATGTGGCAAGCGAGCGCCGCAGGCAAGCGAGCGCCGCACCCCACCAAACCTGCGCACCTCTATAAGCCTGTAGTTCCACCACAATATAGTTGTTTTACTACATATTAACATAATAGATTAAGCAGTACCTAGAGTATCTTTCTTGCACGTACGCGAGTTATGGCCAGTCTCTCTGCACCTACTACAGCGCGCCAAAGCCTGGCGGCTAACACCTAATCGCTCTCCTCTCTGACGCTCTTCATGAGCAATCTGCTGATCAGCCTCGCGCTGAGCGAGTAGATCCTCTCCAGCTCCCTTTGTAAGTACTCCTCGCTTCTGTATCCGCTTTTTCTTACGCTGCCTACGCTTTGTTGCTGCCTCATTAGCCCTCTCAAGGCTGGCGAGCCGATCGCGCATTAGCTCAGCCGAGAG